CCGTCGCCTTTGTGGCACCACTGGGCTGTCCCGGTCCTGTCACCTGTGCAGCATCACCGGGCTGTCCCATCCCTGTCAACTGTGCAGCACCACCGGGCTGTCCCAACCCGTCACCTGTGCAGCACCACCGGGCTCTCCTGCTCCTGTCACCTGAGCAGCATCTCCGGGCTGTCCCGGCCCCGCAGCGCCGGGAATAACCCGGGCAGGTTCGGGAGTGAAGCCGCGGGTAGGCTGCCGGTGGCTGCCGGGCTGGAGCCCGCTCCTCCCAGCCCCGAAAGCTAATGAAGTCTATGTGCCAGCTGTTACACTCATTTTGCCAGACCCCAGGAGGACAGCATGAAGACAGTCAGTGATCAAAGGCTCTGGAGATCACTGAGGAGCCGAGCGGCAGGAATGTCTGATTGCTTTCTCTTGGAATGCCACAGGCTTCAATACCTCCTTTTTTTCTTTTTTTTCTTTTTTTTTTTTTAAGGTGTCTTGGTGTGAGATTTAATGATCTAACTCAGCTTGCTCACACTGAAGCCAGAGTATTTTACTTAATTCAAGGGGATTCATTTGCTCTAAATTTAGGTGGTTTGAAAATTCTTGGGGTTTGTTGTACTGATAACAAGTTAAAATGAAATTTTTCTTGGTAATTCTAATAAATGACCTAGGGGGGAAAAAACCCCAATTTGTTGAGCTTTGGGTGTTAAATCACATATGGCATTATAAAGTGAGGTGGGATAAATCAATTGTGAGTTGACGCTGTTTAGGAAAAATGAGAAATCTGTGTATCCAAAGCTGGTACACTGCAGAGGGCTGTCACAGTGCAGCTGCTGGGCAGAGCTGTCCCCGAGGCTCAGTCACTTTTTCCTTGGGCTTCTTAGCAAAGGCTGTCAGCTCCTGGAGGCGGAGTGGGCAACCTGAATAACTCCCTCTGTTCCCGAGTGTGCTGTTTCCTTCCTCCTCCTCCTTCTGCTCTACCCAACATTTATAGGACCTGGAACGTTTGGGTAGTGCAGAAACCCTTCCTCATTTAGCTGTTCTTCGTGGAACAGCTCACTGAAGGTTGGGAGAGTGTTGGAGTGGGGAGTGATGGAGCGGGAGTTCATCAACACATCGAGGTGGGGTGGTGGCTGTTTGGAAGGGAGGTCCTGGTGGTGTTCTGCCAGCTGGTCTGAGATGGCAGGAAGATGATTCAGGGAGCTAAACCAAAAGGGGGATGAGATAATGCTCTTTTCATAGTGACTCTGGCCTCAACTGCAAGGGTGGAGAGGAGTTCACGGTCCAGTAAATAAGTGGGGCAGGATCTCAGCTGTGTTTGGAAAGACACAGGAGCTTGGCACCATGGGAATGCATGGCAAACAGCATTTTGTCATCTTCTAGAGTGTGAAACCTTATTTGGGGGCAAGCTTGGGTAGGAGTGAGTTAATTTGGAGGTGAGGGTTAAGTTACAGTGTCAGGACCAGGCCTGTGAGGCATTGAAGACCACTGGTTTATGGAGAAGCAGTGACAAACACGAAGCTTTGGGAAGGGACAGGAGGGTCACTGCCAGGGCTGCAGAAATCCTGGCTGCTCTGGTGCCTGTGCCTCCCCATCCTGGCTCAGTAGGGTGCTTCAGTGAGCCCATGGGTTGCTCTCTGGTCCAGGGTGACCCATGTCCATCCTGGTGAGGTCTCCAGGCCATGCCAGCTGTGTGCCAGGCTGATGTGGTGTTCTGGTGTTGGGGACAGCCCTGCTGCCGTGCTGGGAAAACACTGTTGAACTGTGCCTTCCCCTGTGTTTGCAGTTAGAGGTGATGGTTTATCTTCTTGCCTGTGCACAGCATTCCAGAGGTTGTGGGGCTGAAGCTGGGAGCTGCTGGACTCCTGTGCCCACAGCTCCGTGCTGAGGGGTTCATTTCATAAAGGGTCTGTGACAAACGAGGCACACAGCTAGAGTTGTGTCATGTGCAGAAATACTTCATCTTACTAATTGTGTCCAGAAGTAGCAGGCACACGTTTCTGGGTGCCCCTGTGTGTGCAGCATGCTTCCCAGGGGCAGGCATCCATTGGAATGGTCGGGATGACCCCTCCCCCTGACACAAGTCTCTTATCTTCCTTGTTTCCCTTGATCCATGAGCAATAACATACTTCAGAGCTGACAAGGAGGTCAAGTGCTGCATGAAGATAACTGGAGGATGACTTTAGGTGAAGAGGTCTGGGTGGAAGTAGGAGAAATGTGGCCTTTGCCATGCTGTGTCTTTCTGCTGGGCTGGAGAAATGGCCAGTGAAAGTGAAACGTACATTTTCCATGAAACCCATGTCTGTCTCTATTCAACCTTGAATATTACTTACATGAGTAACTCTTCTTTTAGTTTAAAATGCTTAGACAGTGACACCTCTTACTTCAAAATAATTTTGACTATTTGATCCACAAGTGATGGAGGTACATCCTTCCAATCTAGGAACAGTGAACAGAGTTGTTCTGAGCAGAGCTCATCTTGGAGTCTGGGGCACTAAAACAGAGTTACACCAAAAGATGCTCCTCTTTCAGATACCAAAAGGACCCCAGTGACTCAATAATTAATACAGTATTAAAGAGGCAGAGTTTCTCCATGGGATTTCTAAAGACCAAAAACTATGAGCTGTGGTCTTGCCCTCTTCTTTGTTTTTAACAAGGGGCTTCTGTAGTGTCACCATCTGCACAAGAAAAAGAAAGAAGCATTTTTGGGTTCTGTTCTGTTGCTGGGTCTTATCTTCCCCTGTGTTCCCAGATCTACCAGTGAGCAAGATGTTTCTGCCATCCCTTCAGAAGCAGATGTTGAGAAGCTTCATTCAGGTGCCCGAGTATTGATGCTGAACAGTCCTACTCCAGTTAAAGACAATATTTTTCCTTTTTTTCCCCCAGTCAGAGAACTTTGGTCTTTGTGGCTCGCTCTGTGTACTCACTGCTTTGCAGTTGATCTTACCACTCCACAAGCCTGCGAAAGCCAAACTGGTAGGTCAAAAGAGGAGTAGCTGTTGACACTGGCAGTGAGGAACATGTAAGGAGAAAGATAAACAGAGGGAAATCAGAGCCTGGATAAAGTAGATCTCCAAAGATAAAGTTTAGTTAAAGATAATGAGCTGGCCTTGTTTAAAAAGACAGCTGCAAAATAACCCAGTAGCTCCATGTGCTGGGGTTAAAGTTGACCCAGAATATACGTTTCATTGCTTTTGATAAATAAATAGTGGAGGGAAGATTTGGCAAAAAGCAACATTGCCCCCAGCCCTCTTCAGCAAAGTGTTTGATGTTAACAAGTTCTCTGGGTGTTTACTTTGTCCTCTGTGTGCGCTGGTGGAGCGGTGCTCCTGCCCTTGAACCGAGGGAGAATTCAAATAAACCAACCCCTTTGGCACAGCTGGGCTCTTCTGCCATCTGTGGCTTCCCAGAACAGCCCCGGCTCGCCTTGGGAGCCAGCCTGAGCCACGGGATCGCTGGGTCTTCCCAACAGCTGAAATAAATTTGGCGGATCAGATAAAACTGCCCAGAAACGGGAGCAGAACTCGACGGTGTTTCTTGCTGCCCTCTCAAGCTGTCAGTGTAACCGAGAGTGCAGTTTGTGGGCAAACAGCTCCATAAAATCCAGAGTGATTATTTAATTATGATTGGAGGCTTTTCCTGATGCTTCATTTGCACGTATACTTTACAGTGATGCTATGATGATAAAACACGGTTATTTTAAAATAAACCACAGGAATAATTTTGCTGTTGATATCTGGATGCAGCTTCTTGGAAAGCAACCGGCTCTATGAACACTCAATAAACTGGGACTTATTCCTACCAAGCATGTGTATTGCTGCACTTGTTTCTGTGCTGAAGTAAAACTCCCAGTTATTGTGTGTGTGTTGGATACATGTTTATATACACAGCTGATAGATGAGATGTTTAAAGTCTATGTTGAGTGTTATCAGCAGTGGAATTGTATGGCCGGGCTGATAAATGAAGTAACTGTGCTAAATGAGCTCAGATCTTATCCATCATAGCATTACGCAAGGCCAGTTGGACATTTACATGAATGACAGCTGTGGATTTATTGTTTTCTTGGAGAAACCAGTGTTTGATTGAGACTCAAAGTGTCAGAAACACCATTCCTGAGACTCACCTCAGGCAAGTTCTGTTGCTGGTTCCATGATTTAGTTTTTGTCTTGCTGGTTTAACAATTTATTATAGAGTCATGTAGGTTGGAAAAGACCTCTGGAATCGTATTTTGTTTGTGTTTTGCTAGTTTAATGATGTAGTTTTTATTTTTGATGATGAAAGTGAGATCTCACATAGCTGAATGGTTGAGTGTGATCTGGCCAAGGAAAGGACTTCTTTCTCTAGAAGCAGCTATGGAGATAAAAGTGGATATAATGCATGCCACAAAAGGATATAGGAGAAAGCACCATTTTTTTGGGAATATAAATGAGAACAAGACTAATATTGGTGTTTTTGCATTGCTATGGTTTGCCTGTAAAGCCCAGCAGAAGGAGCCAGCAGATGACAGGTCTCAGTGAGCAGGTTTACAGCAATTGAGAGCGGTAGCGGCATCGTGGCAGTAGATTCATAGAAACTTGTAAAACAAGTGCGGCCTGATGATAGATGGTCAAATGATTATTGTTTGCAAACAATATTATCTCCAATAGATAAGCTGTTTACTTTGGACTCCAGCTCCTCTGGGTGGAACGGAGTCTAATTTATCAAGGCAGAGCGGTTCAATGCGGATGCCTCATGCCCCAGCTGTGGAAAAACTCTTACATTAAGAATAGGACTTGGAACCACAGTGAAGTTCAGCTCTAACTCACTTTTACAGATGGTTTCTATATTGCAAAGAATATTAGCTGTTTCCTGGTTGTGCTTTTTTTTTTTTTCTTTAAACCCCAAACACTTTGTTGTAAGAGAGTTAAAAGACAAACTCCTGAAACTCACAGTAGACATGTGCCTGTTTGTTTTGTAGCTGTTTCCGTGCCTCATCTTAGTCTGGAGCTTTGGGCTTTCAATTTGGATAATCTGGCGCTATGCATCCAGCCCCTGGGCGCTTCCAGGCACTGCTCCTCATCGCTGCCACCAGCCTTGTCACTGTCACCAGCACAGGTAAGGCCTCCCCCGAGCTGGGGACTTGGAGGTTTTGGGGTTGAGCTCAAACTTCGGAACAAACAACGCTTGGGGAGTGCATTTCAAAGTGGCCAACTTTACTGGATATTGTCAATAAGCTGCTTTTAAGGAAGCATGGAGCACTGAAATACAGCCTTACACTCAATATGACTTTGCCTGTAAAAACTTGGCTCAGGACAAGCGCCAGAACATGGAAGACTCTGGGATACGTGGGTTTGTTCCTTGGGATCTCCATGGATTCAGCTGGACGCCGGTTCTGCTGCATGCAGTGCATCTTGTGTTCCCAGGGGTTGGGAGGGGTTTGGATTTTCAGGGGGAGAGGGGAATCAGCCCTTTGAAATCCGAAAGCTGATGCGTGGCTGTAGTTGGAACAGCTCTGGTGTTAAAAAAAAGAAGAGGCATGGTTTTAATTGACACATCTGCTCTGTGTAGTCAGCTTGTCTTAACGTAACCACACAAAAAAGAAGCTTTTACTACTTTTAGCACTTCATAGCCAATCGTTATGAGCAAATGGGATAAATTTTATTTTTCAAGCAGTCATAGGAGATAAATTCCAGCTGCAGGGTCACTGCTACCAATTTTGCCTTTTACGCAAAGTGCAGTGTTGGTGTCAGAAGTGAGGGCAGGGGCGAAGATGAAAGTAGCAGTATGATTTCATAGCAATTGGTGGCAAGCAAACTGAAAGGTCAGTGCTTCCCTCTTATCCCTGGAAATTCAAACTGAACTAATAGGAAAAACAGTTTTCTAATTAAAAGCTAAAAATGGACATCTGGAGTCCTGCGAAATGCTTGGATACCATTTTTATGGATTTCATCTTTTTTTGTTAAGTGAAGCCACACTTTAATTTCCATTTTTATTTTATGTTTATGCAGATAGTTTATGGTTCAGTTAAAAATGTGCAGTCTCTCATCTGAAACTCATAACCAGAGCTGGGATGGACTGACTTGAGAAGAAAAGCATGAACCCAGGGCCCCACCTATAAGAAAGCTGTCTCTGACTTGGATGTCATTTAATATCATCTTGACCCGTAGTATCTGGAATTCCTTAGATCCTTTACAAAATAGAAGCTGTTTTTCCCTGCCAATGTGTCTATTTTTAATTTAGTTTTTTCTCCTAATTTCTATTACTAACCAATTAAATATTACTGGTGTTAATTGCCTTTTGCTTGCTTCCTTCATGCAAAATCTTTAGTTGGAGAATTCAATAGAAAGCAAATGGAAATACTTCCCAGTGTTTCATTGGCCAGGATAGGAAAAAATCTCTTCCAACAAGCAGGAATTTTCTTTTGGCAAATAAATGGATTCTCATAACCAAGTTCTGTGGAATTGAACCTTTTATTTATTAGCAGCTCTTCCTGTTTCTGTTCATCTTTACTCAGTAAAGATAATGGATGCCCAATTCATCATCCTTGTCCTGATGAAGTCCATGTATTTGGAATTAGCAAGAGCCTTTGCTGTTCGTCCAGCTTTTTTTTTATCCGGCTATTTTTAATTAGTTCTGCAGACTCGGAGACGGTTCTGTGTAAATACCTGGCAGGCTCCTGCCATTTCTAGCATTTTACAAGTCACGTCCAGGCCTGCTTCATATGGGACAGATCAGCTACAGCTGCGTGTTCCTGTGCTCCATCTCTTCAGGTGACAGCTGCTGTTTTCCTCTGGATAAATCCAGTGGGATTGCAAATTTTGCTGGCCCTGGCAAGCGTGACGCCTGTGCCTTGTGCACACTTGGGAATGTACCTCCCCCTTACTGCACCTACCTCCATTTAATTGTTGTTACCCCCTTTGTGGGGTTTGAATCTTGACGTTTTCCCAGCATTTGAGAGCAAGCAGGAATCTCTCCTGAGTTCCTCTTGCCAAGGAAAAGGCAACACTTGCTTGAGTATGCAACTCAGAGTTTAGAGTCCCTTCATATGGTGAGTCTTTCCTTCCAGTCAACACATTGTTAACCTTATCACCTGTGTCCATGCAAAATTCTGGTCTCTAACTCAATATATTATGTTTCTCCTTTTAGATATAACTCCCCATTTTATTTCTGAGCCCTCATCTACTGTCCAGAAGTCTGGTGAGCCCGTCCAACTCCGCTGCTCTGCCGAGCCCTCCACAGCTCGCATTTCCTGGCTGTTTAATGGGGAGCCTCTGAACAGCAGGGTGGGAGAGGTGGAGGTGCAGGCAGGATCTTTGACAATCGTGTCCCTGAGCCCGGCGGCGTGCGGGCGCTATCAGTGCGTGGCGAGCAGCGGCGTGGGCGCCGTGCTGAGCCGGCCGGCCACCGTGTCCATGGGCAGTAAGTTCATCTGCATTCCTGTTCTTTGCTCCTTGCCAATTCTCAGATGGCTTGTATGCTTGTATGGTTTGTTCTTTGACTTTTAGAAAATGCCCAGATCAAAATGTTCTGGGACAATATGATGGATTGTACACTTCTTGCCTTTTTTTTTAATTACATCATCTGAGACCTGTCAGGTGATGCAGCCCTGGAGCAGATTCCTCAGAAGCTTGTGGATCCCCATCCTTGGAGGCTTTTAAAGCCTCAGCTACACCAAACCATACCTGATGGATTCGGTGTTGGTGTCAGCCTCATTTCGAGTTGAAGGACCCCAAGGGTCTCCTTCAGCAAACACAAATGTTACTCAATGAAATAATATTAATTTCCATGAATTGGCCTTAAAAGACAAGATTCCCAAATGCTTCCCTTCACAAAGGATGTTGAAGGAGCAGCTGAGCTGCCACACCATTGTAGAAGTGTGCTTGAGAGTTGAGAAATATGTGGGAATTGTTGCCTGGGAAATAAGTGGGAGCTGCAGATTTTCATTTTCATTTGATTTGATCAAACCAGTGTTGATGTTCTTCAGGTGGGGGACAGTCTTCTCACCTCTTAGGGACAGCTTCCCTTCTCTTAGTTGCACTGGTTCTTCTGATCAGACTTTGCCTTGTTTCTTGATCTGTAAATTGTGTGACCTCCAGGGATTTGGAAAAGGGAGGACAATGTCTTCCACATGGAAAGGACAGTGCAGTGCAGTGCTGAGATTGGGAGTACAATATTCCTGCATGAGCATGGTTTGTCTGCCTGGGATATGTGGGCTGTCTGAATCAGGTCTTTGTCAAGCAGGGTTTGAGTGATTTCTCTGGAAGGGTACCTCATCTATGGAGCATGTCCAAAATCCCCTTGGGAGGAAAATCTCTTAAAAGTGTTTTGGTAAAGTACTGACCCATGGCCAGTCCCTCTCAAGAGAGCTCCAAGGGTGGCCAACATAAGAAAACTTCACAGCCTCAAAGAAGTTTGAACATGGAGGGAGTAGAAGAGCAGCTTTCACACTTCCCTCCTGCCTTGGAGGTTTTGGCAGCACACAGGAAGGTGCTGGGAGCTCTCTGCCTGCCTCATTATCATCCCAGAAAGACAATTCCATGTTTTTATGGACAGGCTTCCTGCTGTCAGTGTGAATTGTCTTCTGTAGTGCCCACAGAGCGTGTGAGGAGTCCTGCAGCCTTTCCAGTGTCTCTGCTGGCTTTTCTGGGAGCGATTGAGGGGATGTAGGAAGTATTTTTTTTCTCCTCACTGTTCCCATGTAAAAGCTTTCATAGTAAGGAAATGGATAAGGAGGGTTTATGGTGTTAGGGGCTGCAGGATAGACCAGGCCTGTTGATGTGAATGTCCAAAAGCTGCAGCGGAGAAGATAATAAGCATGAAACCAACTGTATTCTGAACACAACACTGAGCTTACTGCCCTTCCCCTCTCCCAAGCCATGGCTGCTCTTACCCTGTTCCCAACTCTCTCCAGGTTTAGGTGACTTTGATGCCTTGGAGACTGCTGCTGTTGCAGCAGAGGAAGGAGGCACAGCTCTCATCAGGTGCAAGGTGCCAGAAAGTCACCCCAAAGCACAGGTTCGCTTCCAAGTGCGGGGGAAGTGGCTGGAACAATCAACAGGTGAGGTGTTTTGTGCAATATAAGTATCCAACAAAAGCTTGCCTGGAGTTTTTTCTTTGAACCTAAAGGAAAAAACTCCTCTGGAAAGTTGCAGAACTTCCTGTGCAAATTACTTTATCTAAACCTACCCTTGGAAATTAGTCTCCTTTGCATTGTGATTTCTTTTTGATTCTATATTTAGAATAAATAGGTATAGCTGACAAATTAATTTTAAAAATTACAAAAAAGGAAGACATCTTTTGAAACAAAATTAAATTCAATCCTCTTTTCACCTTCCCCACTTGTTTAGACAACTACCTAATTCTTCCATCTGGAAACCTGCAAATTTTGAATGTATCTTTAGAAGACAAAGGGTCCTACAAGTGTGCAGCATACAACCCAGTTACTCATGACCTCAGAGTAGAACTCACTGCACGGAAGCTCACAGTCACACGTGAGTATTCAGTTCAGCTTTCCAGAATTAATGCAGCTCAAACAGAATAAATGACATTCCTCTTTTAGCAAGGGCCTATCAGTGCCTCCAACACCATGGTATGTAAGATCTCTCCTGCATTCTTTGCACATTCAGTTTTTATCTCCCCTCACTGTGGAGGAGCAGCATCATTTCAAATCCCAACACCATTTAAAATTCAAGGCAATCACCTTTGGAAAGGGAATACTGCTAATACTTCTGTCCCCAAATCTCTTTTGGAGCAGGACTTCTGGAAGTGTTACAACATCATGCTCAGTCCCAAGTGGAGTGTTTGAAAGACATGGAGGAGGACAGAGAATGGGATGGAAGGGTGTGGTTTAAAAGCTTGGTTGGTTTCTCCTGCAAGGAAAAGCTAAGAGAATTGGGATAGTTCAGCTTGTGAAATAGAAGGTTTAGGGGTGACCTAATTATGACCTTCCTGATTGTGACCTGAAAGGAGCCTACAAGAAAAATGGAGAGAGAGGGCCTGGAGTGACAGGACAGGGGGGAATGGCACTGATGGAGAGTAGGTTTAGATGAGATATTGGGTCCCTGTGAGGGTGGTGAGACCCTGTGAGTCTCTGCCAAGAGAAGCTGTGGCTGTCCCATCCCTGCAAGTGTTCAAGGCCAGGATGGACAGGGCTTGGAACAACTCAGACCAGAAGGCCAAACCATTCTGTGATTCTATTCCATGATTCATCTCCTTTCCTGCAGGCCCTTCTTCAGGTGGCTCCCACATCCTTCACCCGCTGGCTCCCCAGAGCCTGGCAGTGCCCCAGCACAGTCCCCTGACCCTGGAGTGTGTGGTCAGTGGGGCAGCTCCAGCCCCCACCCGCTGGGTGAAAGACGGCCGGGATGCGCTGAGGAGAGGCAGGTGGAGGCTGCTGCACTCCCACCTGGTCACCGACAGGCTGGAGCCATCGGATGCTGGGAATTACTCCTGTGTGGTGGGAAGTGACTCTGGAGCAGTGAAATATGTTAACTATTCGCTTACTGTACTTGGTAAGAATGAAAGACATTTTCACATTCAGGCAACAAACATACCCTTCGTATACCTGCTAGTTTTGGCATCTGCTTCCAAACAGCCTTGCATTCTTGCTCAACCTTAAGCATATTAAAATAAAGAATACAGATCTCTTTATAATGACCATATCCCATCCTTTCTCCCAAATTCAAATCCCTAATTATTTATCTCTTCAAACCATTTGCAGTCTGAAATAATGAAACAGTGAAGGATAACAAACTCCAAGGGAAAAACTGATCCATTTATTTTCCTACAGAGTGCCAGTGTCAGTAATGTGCCAGGGACCAGATTTGCTTCTTTTGAGGTTGTATATGAACAAAAACTGATGAGGGGAGGTGATACATTTGGATAAGAACATCAACAAAAGCAAAAGAAACATAATCATATATTTGGCCTCTTTTGTTTGGCTGCTAGTTGTTCCTCACCTCCCCTTTCCATTGTAGCAGATTTTCCTGGTATTTGAGTTTTTCTGCATTCATGACAGATTTTATTTGGGTTTTAAAATGTGTGTGTTTGAGTTACTCAGAAAACAAGTTGTTGATGCACAACACACCTCTTTTTGGGGGATGTCACTAATTAATTGTTTTGAAAATAGAAGTCTTTTATTTACAAGATTACTGCAAACATATGGCTGTTGAAATAAAAGGGAGAACCCATTCAAATAAGCCCATGTGTGGGAAAACCAGCTTCAGGCTGTGCAGCCTGTGGTACTTCTTCAACCTTTGGATGTGATAAGCCTGTGTAATGTTTCACAGCAATTTTTTTCAGGACTTAGCCTAAGTTGTTTATGTAGAATCGTTTCCCTTTGCAGAACCTGCCTCACTCTCCAGGGGACTGCAGGACGAGACCGTGGCTGCGGGAGCGAGCGTCCATTTCTGGTGCGAGGCCGGCGGCAGCCCCGCTCCCACCCTCACCTGGCTCCACAACGCGGCTCCTGTCCAGCCCTCCCCACGGCATCTCCTCACAGGAAACCACCTGAGGATCTGTGGGGTCACCCTGGCGGACTCTGGCTTGTACCAGTGTGTGGGAAACAATGGAATTGGGTTTGTGCAGTCCACGGGGAGACTCCGTGTCCAGCCAGGTAGGAGCACTTGCAGCCCTCGAGAACTCACATTAAGCATTTATACTTTAAGCTTTGTGGTATTTTTTTGCCCTAGATTATGTATTAATTTGTTTCTGACCTGTTCTAATCTTACAAAGAAAGTGCTTTCAGCTGGATTTTAAGAGATGCAGGGATTTCTGGGGTAGTGTGGCTACTTGATACTTAAAACCTGGATTATCAGCTGCAATCAAATCAGCTTATGATTGGACTTGATGCGATTTATTCTTAAATGGAATCAGGATCCTGTTGTGCTGGGTGAGCTGGTACTCTTAGTAGGATTGGCTGCTGAGTAGTTAAGCCTGTTCCATAATCAAGTTTACACAACAATCATCAGGTTTGGGGTTAATGCACACTTCCCCTCTATCAGATTGGCAGGATCAGGTTCCAGCAGTCTTTTTGATCCCTTTTGTCTTTAAGATACCTTCTAATACCAAGAGAAGTTGATTTCTGCTGGCACAAGGATGCTGGCAAGGCAGTTGCTGTCCCTGTTCTCTCCCTGTCATGCATAGCTGAAGCTTTGAACCTTCTCTGGACCAGTTATGGTTGGTGTGCACTGTGCAGAGCCTGGCTGAGCAGAGATTTTGTGGCCTCTGTGTGTGTGGAGTGGACTAAGCCAGTCTTACCTGTGCTGCGTTCCTCACTGACAGTCAAGTCTTTGTCATTTAGAGAATTTAAAGCACAGTTTGATGTAGGTTTTTATCAGCTTTCTCTAAGGTGGAGTCTGTGCTGATCTCTTCAGTCTGGAATGGAAGTCTAGAGGTGTTGTGTAGAGAAGAAATAATTGTTAAAATGGTTAGAAAGAACCACATGTGATTTTTTTAAATTGTATTGACTTGTTCTGGCATTAAGTGTCATATCCCTTAGTTGAATTCATTCTTTGGTTGTGTTTTCCCCCAGGCAAAGACTCTGTCCCCATCATCATCTCTTCCCCAGCCAACACCACCGTGGTGGCCGGTGGGGATGTGACCCTGTCCTGCAATGCCACCGGCCTGCCCGCTCCTCTGATCCGCTGGTACGACAGCAGAGGCCTCGTGATCAGCCCCCCCGGGCAGGGGCTTCCCCCCCGAGCACAGAGCCCTCCCCCAGCAGGGCCAGAGCCCCGGTGCCCCTCGGTGCCCCGGGCGGGCTGGGGCTCCCTGCACCTGCGGAACGTCAGCCCCGAGCGCGCCGGGCGCTTCCGCTGCGAGGCCAGCAACGAGCACGGCTCTGCCCTGGCCACTGCCTTCCTCACTGTCGGTGAGTTGAACCCCCAGCTTCCCTCTTGGCTCCCTGAGTTAGGTGAGAAATGCCTCAGAATGTGTGGCAGGTGGGTGGGGCAGAGTCTCAGGGGAAGGAAGCAGAGGAGTCTTAATTATCTTCATGGAGCAGTTCCTCCATCCCACCTTAGGCAAAGGAGGAATGCTGTGTGCATTGTATGGGCTTAGCATCTTCTGTGTGAAAAAAACTGAGGGTGTGTCAGACTAAGCCCTTTTCCTACTCAGAGATGGGGCAGCTGAGGGGACAAAATGCCTTTCATGCCTTAAAGCCAATCATCTAAAACTACCCCTCCCAGGTCCTAATACAATACATCTTTCATAGTTCTATTTCTCCAAATTATCTAGTCTTTTTTACAAAACCATCCTTTAAAACTTGTTTCTATTTCCATTTCTCTCTCAGCAATATCTGTCCTATTCCATAGCATTTCTATGTCAGCATTTCTTGTCTCAATGTTTACATACAAATACATACTATGTCAGCCTTCTGTCAGGTTTTGAGAATTTCTACAAATCCATTTCCCACAAGGGTGGTATTTTTTATTTATTTCTTGAAATTGCTACTAGGAAAAGACAGTACTTACACTAAAGCAAAATGGGAAAGAGCCTTTCCTCACATTGGAATATTATCTGACATTAATAACAGGTTTGAGCTCCCCCAAGTTCCCTTCACAAGAACCCAGATACAGATTTTTAGTTACATGAAGTTACTTAAGTTTCTCAGCTCTTTCAGCACCTTGCCTCAGTTAATTTAGCTGAATGCCAGGGAGATTTCAGGTTAGTGGGATTTAATATGTGGCCCCATATTTAAAGTTCTTTGGTTAGAGTTTAAAACTCCTGTAAATAACATAAAAAGATGCTTAAAGGTTCACTTAGGGGAAAAAAAGAAAGAAGAAACCTCAAGAAAGTGATCCCATCATGTAGTTTTATAAATCAGTTATTTTTGGACCTTGCTGAGTGGAAAAACGAAACTAAATATCATCCCAGAATTCAGCCTGTGTTAAAGAGAAAAATCCCAGTGCTTTGCCTCAGAATTTTATGGCAGTGAGTTCAATTTTAATGCTTTGTTTATTAACTTTTATCGGTTTCTAATACGTTGTACTGGCTGCTGATTATGGTGCAGAGGGTGGTTAAGGCATTTGGTTTTGATATAAAAGTCTCTGAGGACTTTCTGGGAGCTGTTAGGGGTTTAGAACAGCTCCCAGCCGTGCCAAAGACATGCTCAGACACTCAGCTGTTTAATGAAGAATTCCTGCCAGGTAACACTTCCGAAGCACCTGAATGACTTCAGCTGGGATTCCATTTCTTCAGTAGAAGGATCAGCTTAAACACTTCTCAGCTTCAGTACCTGGTCCTGTAATTTGCCTTGTCCCAGCACACAGTAAGAGAGCCCATTTGGCTGAAAAATATATATTTTTTTTTTTTTTTCCTTCTGATGGATCTATTCCAGGCTGTGATTCATTGCATGGTCTTACAGTGGGCAGGACAACTTCAGCTGCCATCATAGTGAGAAACCACCAAAATGTAGAATGATGCCTCAGGATCCTGTACCCACGGCCCTCCCTTTTTTGGGTCTTTTTTAGACAGTTGCAGGAGCTTCCCAGAGCTACTGAACACAAGGTTAAATCTCCAAAATAACTTCATCTAATGGAAATGAAGGAGAAAAGTACACTGCAGGCAGTCTGAGTAGCAGGAGAGGGAGTGAAAAACAGAAGGAGCATTTAGTATACACAGGTGGGTGTTTCAGGGACAAACAGCCTGAATTGCTCCTACAGAAACCTTAGAGAAGCTCTGAGAAGTGCTATTGTGATTTGCAACACGTGCCAGGTGTGGGTGACCTCACTGATGTGCTGTGTTCAGGTTTTCAGAGGGCTTGCCCAGCCTGTGCTGAGGTATTTGGAGAGCTTGGAAAGAGGAAGGATCCTCTGGCTGTGAAAGGAGCAGGGAGGAAGTGCCTGGGAATGTGACCTGTTTGCACAGCAGAGATAAAACCCAGAGCTGCTGGCTCTGCCTGTGACTGTACCCTGGTCAGCAGGAGAGCAGGAGAACAAGCAAAGGTGCTGTGAAACACAGCAGGTGGGGAAGGGTTTCTGCAGTAGGAGAGGCTGAAAAAGTGAGGGCTCTTCCCCTTTGAAATGAGGCAGCTGAAGGAGAGAAACAACAGCAGGCAGTCAAGTACTGGGTATTATGGAATGTGTGAGTTGGAGCCAGGCTGGGAGAGTTGGAATGGTTCATCCTGGAGAAGAGAAGGATCTGGGGAGATCTCAGACCTCCTTCCCATGCCTAAGAGAGCTGGAGAGGGTTTTTGTACAAGGGCCTGGAGTGACAGGACAAGGGGGAATGTCTTCACACTGCCAGAGGGCAGGGTTAGATGGGATATTGGGAAGACATTCCTCCCTGTGAGGGTGGTGAGGCCACAGAGCAGCTGTGGCTGCCCCATCCCTGGGAGTGTCCAAGGCCAGGTTGGACAGGGCTTGGAGCAACTTGAGATAGTGGAAGGTGTCCTTGCCCATGGCAGTGGGGTGGAACTGAATGGCCTTTAAGGTCCCTTCCAACCCAAATCATCCTAAGATTCTATGAATGCAATTCTTTTAATGCCCAAATTGGTGTCATTCAGTCCTTCTCCGGTTGCTGGTGGGATCAGGATTTTGGGTGCATGCAACCTTTGGCCTGACTCAGCTCAGTGCTGCTGGTGTTTCCAGTGGGATTGGGAAGCTGAGGAAGAAAAATCTCCGTGGCTAAGGAGAAAGGGATGGCACTGAGAGCAATAGCCAAAAAAAGTTACATAATGACACAGCAGCAGAGAGAAGGCCCATGTGCTGGGTTATATGGGTAGTAATTATACCAGAAAGTTTGCAGAAAGAGCTTTGATCTGAATTACTCAATGGGAATTGTTACCCGGGGCTTGTTTTCCAAAGCAAAAATACAACAGCCCAGCAGTTGTTGACGACTCCCCTCCTGCAGCAATAAACACAGCGCTGGCTGTGGGTCTGCTGTCACCAGCTGAAACCACAACTCATCCTCCACTCCAAGAGTCCATTCCCCAGTGCCAGCAGGCACCAAACCATGCCCACCCACATCCTCGGGGTCCACCACAGTGCTGAGGGCCTTCCACCTCCTCCCATTTGTTTCCAATATCACGCCCTTCCCGCTGCTCCACTGACAGCAGAGATACCCTTTCACTCAGGGATTGTTCTGGGAGTGTCTGGCATTTTAGGACCATCTGGGCTTTGGGGACATCCTCCCCACGTTGTTGCCTTCTTCCTGTCTCTGAATTTTGTGGCATTGCTAAATAAATGAGAAGAAACAAACAAGGAATGCTTGCCGAGAGCATGTCTTCAATTTGAAAAGAGAACTTTCCTTCCCAGCTTTTTAAAAAGTGGCCAAAAATAGCAGCCACACTTGCTGCTGGTATTTTAATGGAGGTTTGAAGGAATCTGAGTCAGCCAGGCTAACACTGCCTAGGCTTTACATTACCAAGGAATTTGTTTGTTTTGTAAACCAAGTTCCCTTCATTCCCTTCCCCTTCCAGACCCCGGCACGTAACATAAACCTACACAAATCTGAAAGGACGGACAGGGCTCCGAACATCTGGCTGTCCCACTGCTGCCGTGTGCAGCCTCGAGGAGCTGTGCTGCTTCCCAAACCTTCTTGCTTTAAGTCCTGATGTTTTCTTGTCCTGGATAATCTCACATGTCCAACCTGCCACCCTTATCCTGCCTGGAATTCTGACGAGCCCTGCATCAGCCAAACAGGGCTTTTTTTTTTTTGTCTTGTGGCCTCTTTTAGAGTACTGATACTATATAGATTTCTTTTTCATACCAGCAAAAGTAAATAGGATGGAGGAGGCTGGAGAAGGATTTCTAGAAATGCGTTGGTATTAAATTGCATGTAGATCTTCCTGTAAACTGAGTTTATTCTCAGCATAAATTTTCAAATGAAGTAGTTGAGTTGTACAGCTTTCAAAGCTTCTCTAAATTACAGCTAAAACCTCAGAAACTGGGGTAGGAGAATGTCCTCTTGTGTGCATGCCAGTGCAGGCCATGAAAAGTTCCTTGTACAACGACATACAAATTACTCGGTTTGTCTCACAAATTTAGCTATATACTTATTTATTTCTTTTAACATATATTGCCATGACTTAATTTAGTGGAGATATGGTCAAACTGTGCCTGTAGACCTTGAGTTTCAGGTTTTCTCTCTTTGCTCCTGTGAAAAAAACACCAAACCAAACAAAACAAACCGAACCCCACTGCTGTGCCCTGAAAAAACACCCAGGCCGCAGCTTGGCACTAGGCTCAGATCTGTGTGGGCACCTCTGGACCTGGCGTTTTGCAGCAGGGCTTGTTTGGAAATGTCACTCTGAAATGATTTAGTGTCCCCTCGGCGCGGGGCTAACATACGTCACGGTGGGGATGTAACCAGACCCTCCCTTTGCAGTTCCTTCAGCAACTGGCACGAGAGCAGGAGAAACAGCTCCTCTGGAGCTTGCTCAGAGCGACGAGAGCGGCGGTGATTTTGGTGCAGAAATGGCATTTTCAAGCTCGCCTCTGACAAAATCTCCTCTGGACGTGGCCGCGATGGAGAAGGCGTCGAGCGCCGCCGCGCCGCCCGAGGCTCCCATCATCCTGAGCCCCCCGCAGACGCCCAAGCCGGACTCGTACAGCCTGGTGTGGCGGCCGGGCCGTGCCGGGGGCCTGCCCATCAATGCCTACTTTGTCAAATACCGCAAGGTACCGTCCCCAGCCCTGGCCAGCCCCGCAGGGATGCGCCACGGTTCTGTGGGTTTCACAAGGGGCAGCAGGGCTGGTGGTTGTGATGGCTGGTCGGGGGTATGATGGCTGGTCAGGGGTATGATGGCTCAACCCAGACACTGCAACCCTCCCAGAGACAGCTCCCACAGGATACAGCTTCTAGGGGTCTCAGGCAGTCCTTCAGCCACAGGGTAACCTCAGCAAGGGGCAGGCACCTCAGCTCTTAGCAGGGATTTCAGCTCTTAGCAGGGATTTCGCCTCTTAGCGGTGATTTCACCTCTTAGCAGTGATTTCAGCTCTTAGCAGGGGTTTCACCTCTTAGCAGGGATTTCACCTCTTAGCAGTGATTTCAGCTCTGAGCAGTGCTTTCAGCTCTTAGCAGTGATTTCAGCTCTTAGCAGTGATTTCATCTCTTAGCAGTGATTTCACCTCTTAGCAGTCATTTCAGCTCTTAGCAGTGCTTTCAGCTCTGCCTTGCAAGGTGTCCCCAGGCCAACACAGGGATATAGAGACAGGAGCTCCGTGTAGCAGTTCCACGGTGTTCCTTTATTCCAGCAACCCTCCAAAGGAGGCCAGGGATGACAGCTCCCTCCCAAACAGGGCAGAACCGGGGTTTTTATGGGGAAAAGTGGGGTGGTACAAAGGGGGAAAAACCAATGAATTATAAAGATTCTACATGGGAGCCCAAAGCATGCTGGGAACTCACCATGACCAAGTAGGATTTCTCAATCCAGGAAGGTTGAGATGATCTTATCACAGCCCACTCAAGGGACATCTCTCCAAGGGAGAGGTTTGGCATGCTTAGCTGTCTCCACACTGGTGTGAACCCGGACATGGGCTCAGGCCAGGCAGAACACAGTGTATAGCTAAAGCACAATGTTCCTATGCCCACACAGCTTGTTTGAGGGATGGCTGACATTGTCACCAGTACACTGCTCTGTCTAGTTTTAAATGAGATTTATCCAGGCTTTTCTGTCCCTTACAGTGTCATTATGGAGAATGGGGCTCCAGGGTGTGTTGTGTGCAGAATCAGTGGGGTTAAAAATGCATTTAAATGTGAGCCAGCTTGAATCTGTGTGTGAGAGCAGAAGGGAAGCTGAGTTTTACCGTAGTGCATCACTGAGTTTGCTGCTCTGGGTCCCAAAGGGACTCAATTAAACTGAAGTTATCAAATATGAAAGTGAACTGAAATTTGCAGGGCAATACCTACTGAGCATTAAAAATGGTGTGACAGCACCGAGCTCTTTTGCTTAACATCACATGGTGGGATTCCTGGGGTCTCTTATGCAGAGCCAGGAATTGGACTCCATGATTCCTGTGGGTCACTTTCAACTCAGGAGGTTCTGTGATTCTAAAATCAGAACCAAGCAATGCCTGCTTCTGTTCTTCCAAGCAAACCAGTTTTCTGCATGGCAAAGCTGTTTGATTTATTTTTCATAAGCTTTTTAATCCTCTACATCCTGATCTTGTCTTAGCCTGGAGGGAATGCTTAGATTTTTCACCTGTTGGTTCCTGAAAACCAAGTGCTAGAGTTTGTTGGTGATAATTTCTCATCCAAAGGCGGTTGGTTCACATAAGCCCTGGAAGCTCTGAATGCTTTTTTGACCTTTTTGACGCTCTCCCTTCTCTCACACCAATCCTTTCCACATTAAATGTGCTCACTCATGCATTTCTCAGCACTGAATTTATCCCGGTTTTTAGGGTGGTGCTGTCTTTGTGTCATTAAATTATTTTATTGATTTCCCTCTTTTAATAGAGGAAAAAAAAAAGTTGGGGGAATAAAAGCCCTGGAGTGGCTGCGGTAGAAGAAAATAGTTGAACAAAGACCTCTGGCATAACCTTTGATAATCCACAGCATTTAGATCTGCCTCCAATGTTTTATTAAAGTCTTATAATGTTTAGTAGTTTATTTTTGATGGAATCTTTGTCTTTTCCTTTGGGATTTGGGGTAATGTTTTCCTGCAAAGGTCAAACATTAAGAGACTACCCAGAATGTCTTTCTTTTCTTTAACAGAGCTGATTTCACTGCTAAGTTAAAAAGTGTTTCTGTTTTTAAAAAAAGAAACATGCATTGGTAAACCCAAATCTTTGATCTCCCTGCTGACTTTTTTGCCATCCTTAACTAAGACATACTTTTTGTTGCCCATTTTAGCCAGTAAATATTTTTAAATGCTGAAGTACAGGGGAAGCTGGGCAAGTACAGGAGAAGTGTCCTTCTCATTAGGGCATTGGATCCAGCCTTTTAGTAGCACACAGCTGAAGGCTGACTGAAGGCTTGAAAATCATTTGGGCTCTTGTAGTTTTAGCCACAAGTGAAAATGAAAAAAAACCCAGTCAAAACCAACTGTGTGTATGTGCATGGAGAGGGGAAATAAGTTTATCCAAGGAGTGCTATGGGGCTTATTCCAAGAGGAGAAAGTGGGTGCAAAGCTGCTGATTTGTAGTAGAAGCACTTGGAGACAAACCACAGGTAAATGTAGGAGACCAGGAGGAGTTTTGGCAAGGGGCAGAGGTGCTTTGGGGCATGATTTGGGATGTGAGCAGTCCCCAGTTCTGAGCATGCTGTGCTGATGGTTTCCCTTGTGAGCAGCTGGAGACAAACCATAAGTGAATGTAGAACAGCAGGAGGAGCAGAGGTGTTTGGGGTGCAGTACAGAGTGTGAGCAGTCCCCAGTTCTGAGCACATTGTGCTGACAGTTTCCCTTGTGAGGAGCTGGAGACAAACCATAGGTCAATGTAGAACAGCAGGAGTTTTGGTGAGGGGCAGAGGTGCTTTGGGGTGCAGTTTGGGGTGTGGGCAGTCCCCAGTTCAAAGCATGCTGTGACAGTTTCTCCTGTGTGCAGCTGGAGACAAGCCGTAGGTAAGTGTAGAAAAGCAGTTTTGGTGAGGAGCAGAGGTGCTTTGGGGTGCGATTCGGGGTGTGAGCAGTGCCCAGTTCCAAGCATGTTGTGACAATTTTCTCCCTAGTGAGCAGCTGAAGACAAACCATAGGTAAATGCAGGAAAGCAGCTTTGGTGAGGAGCAGAGCTGCCTTGGGGTGCGATTTGGGGTGTGAGCAGTGCCCAGTTCTGAGCACACCGTGCTGACACTTGCAGCTGGAGACAAACCATAGGTAAATGTAGAACAGCAGGAGTTTTGGTGAGGAGCAGAGGCGCTTTGGGGTGTGATTTGGGGTATGAGCAGTCCCCAGTTCCAAGCAGGCTGTGACAGTTTCTCCTGTGTGCAGCTGGAGACAAGCTGTAGGTAAGTGTAGGAAAGCAGTTTTGGTGAGGAGCAGAGGTGCTTTGGGGTGCGATTCGGGGCAGTGCCCAGTTCCAAGCATGTTGTGACAGTTTTCTCCCTAGTGAGCAGCTGAAGACAAACCATCGGTAAATGCAGGAAAGCAGTTTTGGTGAGGAGCAGAGGTGCTTTGGGGTGTGATTCGGGGCAGTGCCCAGTTCTGAGCACACCGTGCTGACACTTGCAGCTGGAGACAAACCATAGGTAAATGTAGAACAGCAGGAGTTTTGGTGAGGAGCAGAGGTGCTTTGGGGTGTGATTTGGGGTATGAGCAGTCCCCAGTTCCAAGCAGGCTGTGACAGTTTTCCCCCAAGTGAGCAGCTGCAGACAAACCATAGGTGAATGCAGGAAAGCAGTTTTGGTGAGGAGCAGAGGTGCTTTGGGGTGCAGTGCAGGCTGTGAGCAGCCTCCAGTTCCAAGCAGGCTGTGACAGTTTCTCCTGTGTGCAGCTGGAGGACGGCGTGAGCGCGGCGGGCGGCTGGCACACGGTGCGGGTGCCCGGCAGTGAGAACGAGCTGCGCCTCACCGAGCTGGAGCCCTCCAGCCTGTACGAGGTGCTGATGGTGGCCAGGAGCGCCGCGGGCGAGGGCCAGCCGGCCATGCTGACGTTCCGCACCAGCAAGGGTAGGTGCAGCACAATGTGCCCTGTGTCCCGGCCTTCCAGAGACATTTATTTAATGACATCAGTCATTTAATGGCATCTGCTAAGCCATATGTGAAATATTCTGCAATTTATTTGCTAAAGAACTGCCTCTAATAGCTAAAATTGCTGTAGGGCAAACTTCCTTGAGTGTGAGGCTGTTGGTAAGGAGAAGCTATTAAAAGCTTGATAATATTATTTTTGGGGTGATTGTTAAGATTTGTGCTATGAGGTTTTTCTTGCTTTAAGGAGCAAAGTCAGGAGCAGTCTGTCCTTGTTGAGGTTTTTAATCACAGAAGAAACTCTGCACCGTTGAGTTTCCATGCGTCAACAAAGCTGTTCCTGGTTTGCTTTCCAGACACCTCAGTGACAATCTCTGCTGACCACAAGCCAGCTGTTCTGATAGTTGTGTGCACACAGCAACAAGCACAACATTCCTAATCAGAGCGTTTTTTCTTTCAAGCTTGGACGCTGCTGCCTGTGCTCTTTAGCACACAAACAAGTCGATATTTTTTATACAACTGTCCAAGAATGGCTTTTAAGTGACAGAGGGTAGGGTTAGATGGGATATTTGGAATAAATTCTTACCTGGGAGGGTGGTGAGACCCTGGCACAGGGTGCCCAGAGAAGCTGTGGCTGCCCCCTCCCTGGAAGTGTTTCAAGACCAGGTTGGATGGGGCTTGGAGCAACCTGGGATAGTGGAAGGTGTCCCTGCCCAGAGGAGGGTGTGGATCAAGATGAGCTTAAAGGTTCCTTCTGACTCAAACCCTTCTGGAATTCTATGCTGGACAGGATAGCTTATAATTTTTTAAAGAATTTAATGTCTTAATGAAATTTGTGAAACATACTTAGATCCTTTGCCCTGTCCATCCTTCTCATCTGTTCTTCATGAACAGATACAACACTGATGGCCCTCAACCTCTGAAAATCTCTCCTCTGCCAAAACCAGTCAACAACTCCCTAATTGTGACCTACCCACCCCCCAGAACATCTCTGCCTGATGAAACTTTGGGTCCGTCCCAGGCACCTGCCCAACAACTCAAATCCTGGCTGACCTACTCGCCCTCCATGGCCCAGCAGACACAGCCCCAGCCTGCACCACCCTTGGCCAGACACACAGAAATGTTCAGTGTGGCTGACTGGTGCCTCACCTGCTCCAAAGGGAGCCTCATTCTTCAGCTGCATCTGTCAGCACACTAAATGGGGATTCTATGGCTCCTACTTACACAAAGCAACCTCTAACACAGGAGTCCTTCTCCTGCTGCCCCTTCATGGGCTGTGTGCTACCATGAGGCCAAACACCATTTTGAGAGGCCGCAGCCATCCATCCCCAGCCTCCTCTCAGCCATCCCCTCCCTTGCACAGACCCTCAGAGGATGAGTCTGAGGAGGATTCTCTGTAGAACACCCCACACTTACCTGATTTTTTGTGCTACACCTCCTCCTTTTATCATCACAGGTGCACATTCCTCCACCCCACCTTCTTTCACGTGTCAGGTTCAAACAACCCCCAGGGCATTGTACCAAACTGTGGCAAAATCCCATTCCTCCCATACTTTTCTGTAAAAGACATCCTGGTGTTCATACTCACGTTCCTCCTACTAACCCTCCCAGCTTACTGGGGGGCTCAGAAAGCTTCACACCAGCAAAGCCACTTGTCACAGCCCATCATATTAAACCCAGAGAATGCTTCCTCTTCACTGTCCTGTGGTCAATCCCTGGCAAACTCGGGGGAATCAGTACAGTGGGGTGCCACCCCACCCTGCTCCACACTATCCTGCCACCCCTTCTGCCACAGGTCAAAAGCCCTCTCAGCCTGGTGTACTGGCTCCAGCTGCCTCCACAGCATTTTTGCTCCTTCTCTAGACACGGATTTCAGTGTGTAATTTTCCCCATCTGGTGATGTTGTGATGAGTGGGCTTGGCAGCACAGGCAGGAGCTGGTGGCATCACCACTAAGCACTGTGGATGTCAGTACTGCAGATGGACAGTCACTCACCCACAGCCTGGGTGGGAAATCTCCCCCTGATTGCTCTCCTGACTGTCCAGCTTGGGATGTGAAGCCAGGGCAGCACGGTAGCAAGTGACCTGGTAGAGTGAGCATTGACAAAGAGCATTTCCTTATGCAGGCCCTACACTGATGTACTGTCTGTCAAATCTTCTTAGAAAGAACATCATCCTCGAAAAACACGCAGGCTCCATCTCCACCCGTAGGAATCCCCAAACATCCCATTGTTCATGAAGGCACAAATAATAACTTTGGTGTCATCCTTCCGGACCTGTCTCGCCACAGTGGAGGTAGGAGTGTGGATGGTTTGTGATTTGGGCACTAAAAGTTGTGTTGCAAGGAGCTGTGTCTGAGTTAACCTGTGTTTATTACTGTTCCAGGTGCTTGTATTGCTTCCTCTATTTCCTGTTTATTCTGTTACATAGGATATTTCCTAGGATGCTGCTGCCTGCATGTGTGGCTCTCAAAAACGAGAATTTTTGCTTACAACCCACATTCTTACCACTCATTTTTAAACCTGTGGTATCTTTTTGCTAAATACTCTGGTTTTCTCTTTCCTTCCACTGAGAAAGAGCCAGAGGAAGAGGAAATGGGAAATGGCTGTGTCAGAGCTTTAAGTTCTCAGAGTGTGTGATATCTGTTCTGAATGTTTTCCTGTGGCTTCCCAGGGACAGGCTTTTTTCTGATGGTGAGGAGATATAAGCACTTCCCAGTAGATGTGATGTTTGGCCTGGTTTCCAGTGAAAAGAGCACGTTTATAGTCCTTTTTCTCATCCCTGTTCCCCCAGCCTTTGAACTCCTTGGCCTGGTTCAGGCAGATTTACTCAGGGGCTGAGATCTCAAAGGTATCTAAAATTTGGGGTAAAGCCAAAGGTCAGTGGAGAGGTTTAATACCACAGGCAAGGAGCTGAGCTTGTGGCAGCACTGAATGTCAGAGGAGCCACACAAGGCCCTTATTTGTGCCTGGCTACCAATGCTCAGCTGCTTCATGCCCCAGAGCTGCCAGCCTGCTGCTCCTTGCTCCACTCCTCAGCACCAGCTCCATGTTCATGAGTCCAGGCTGGTTTAGTAAAGCCTCACAGCTCTTACAACCAGATTTACTAACACCCCTCTTTCCCTTCTCTCTGTCCCACTGCTGCCTGTAACTTCAGTGAGTTCCGTAAGTACATCCTGGTGCATGCTTTGTTCTCTCTTCCTTCTCGTTTCTCCAGCACTCCTTAATGCAGATGGGTTGAAGTCTCATTGGGTCTGGGGGGATTTTGGGGGCTTGAAAATAATAACCACCATGTTTTTCTTGTTCACTTAGTGTATGTGTCTGTTTTCATGTAGAAATGGTTGGAGTAGTGCAATACCATATAATTTTTTAATATTATATTGATAAGATAATCAAATCCTCTTGAATTGTCTGCTCATCATCCATCCTTTCCAGCAGAGTAAGGGCAGTGGTGATTTCAGGAGGATTAAAGATTCTCCTTGTTAATATGTGAAATACAACACAATCATCAGCAACAAGTCTAATCTGTTATTAGTGAAAATGAAATTTCAGCTGACTCTAACCCTCTTGTACCCGAATTTCCCTGTTCAGTTCCAGAAGCTCCTGACCGACCCACGATATCCACGGCCTCGGAATCGTCCGTCTATGTCACATGGATCCCCCGTGCCAACGGGGGCTCCCCCATCACTGCCTTCAAAGTGGAGTACAAACGTCTGGGGCGCAACAGCGACTGGCTCATCGCAGCTGGCAACATCTCTCCCTCCAAGCTGTCTGTGGAAGTTAGGAACTTGGAGCCAGGTAGCAGAAATGATCTTTCATTACTGCAGCTCTTCGGGTTTTTTCATTTTAACTTCTGCTTGGATTATCCCGTTTCTGCTCGATTAGGTTTGGGTTTTGTGTATGGCCTAGGAGCTCGTTACATGAATTCAAGTTGATTTCTGGCTTTCCAAGTGGAAAAAAAACCCCACCATAATTTAATACTTGTTCATGTGGAGAGGAGGGTTGTGTATCACTGCTATTTTTAACTTAATTGTCCTTCTAGTGAACACTCAGAATGTAGAGAAAAATGCATTAATGGAAAAATGTCTGTCATGACTTCTTCCCGTGTCTAGCACTGAAAACTCCGGCAAAAAACACAAGAGAATATGGAGTGGATAGTGATAGGGATCCTTTGAAGCATCTTCTCAGTGCCCACCAGTTTCAGGATTTCCTGGGCTGATGGAGGTATCTCCAATAGCCTTTGGACATTCCTTGAGTGACTTCTAGAAGCTGTTTATATCTCCACATCAGCCTGTGGCGAGGACTCCTCTCCTTTTCTAACTGCATGCTGTGCAAAAAGTACTTCCTAATCTGTTTAGTCTCTCCTTGAATCCTCTTTCCAGCACTTGTTTTGCTACAAGGGCTTCTTTCTTTTCCCTCTTTCCCTTAAAAGGAGAAATGTACCGGTTCCGCGTGATCGCGGTGAACACGTACGGGGAGAGCCCGCGCAGCGCGGCGTCGCGGCCGTACCAGGTGGCCGGCTTCAGCAGCCGCTTCTCCAGCCGGCCCATCGCCGGCCCGCACATCGCCTACACCGAGGCCATCAGCGACACCCAGATCATGCTGAAGTGGACGGTGCGTGCAGCTCTGCCTCGTTTTACTGTAGGAGCGTCGGGGGGTAGACGGCTGGGACAGGCATGAGAGATCTCTGCAGCCAGGTCATGGAACTTGTGGTTTATTGCAGAGGGCCTGGGTGCAGGGCCCTGCTGGGAGCTGCCAGGCACAGCTCAGAGCAGGACTGAGAGAAGAGAGGGGGAGAGAGGATGAGAGGGTAAGAGAGTAAAAGGGTAAGAGAGCAGAAGCGTAAGAGCGTAGAAGGGTGAGAGAGTGAGGTTCCCGTTACAATACCATAAATCTTCTTCTGTGTTGAATATTCTAATTCTCACTAACCAGTCTAGTACAAGATACAAATCCTATAGCATTTACATACAGCCTATAAGAATCATTACATTACCATACTGTGTTACATTTTAAACCCTAAAAACTCCTCTTTGGGCCCCTTCTGCCAAGCCAGTAGGGTCTGCTCTGACCCTTGGACCTGTCTGCAAGCAGAGGGTGTTGTTCCATCTAAAGGAGATTACCTTTGGCTGGCCACACCATTGTTTTCCAGTTGTTCAGTAACTGAGGGATCTCAAAGCTTGCTTTCATTTCAATCTCATTTATAGTTTCTATATTCTCAAAATCTTTTGCCAGACAACCATATTTATAAGGCTTTCCTGTTTCATCTTCCCCAACACTTACCACAGTTTGTAAAGTCAAGGATTAATGCTGTTTGTGGAGTGGTTTTCCTCCCCACAAGACCTGGAGATTTGCCCCCATTTCCAGTCACTTTTCCCGCTCAGAGGCAGCCCTGTCAGTTGTCTGTTGCCTTTTGCACCATCTCCCAGCTTCCCTCCGCCCCACTCCCCTTCCAGCTCCCCGGGGACCTCGCACACCCCTCCTCGGGTTACGCCAGATGTGCCCAACTGGCAGCTCCAGTGAGAGGCTGCAGCCGCCCCAGTCCACCTGCTCTGGCACAGACATCTCAGAGGCACCAGTGGGCTTAACTCTGTCCCAAGCCCTCTTCATGCCATGAGTTGTGAGTGAGTTGGCTCCGTTTCCTGCAATTCCTGCTGCTTTTGTCAATCCAGGCTGGGGTGGCTTGGGAGAGTGTTTCAAACCCGCCGTCTTCCCTCACATCCAGTGGAGGTTTCATGTTAGAGAAACATTTTCCTTTCCCCTGTTACCTCGTCTATTGTAAACAAGTACTTTAAAGTCCTTATTGAAACCCACAGAAATTCTTTGCTCTTGTTTTGAAATCTAACCCCCTGGTATACTTTGGAGGATTTAATGTGTAGAGTTCCCAGTGTTAGTTTGCTCTGCTAGCTCAGCCTTAAGAGATGTTAAGGATAATAAACTTAAAATAACCTCTGGTTCCTCAGGAGGCTGCATAACTTAAAGATTCTTGAGCTGATTTTTAGTGATCTTAACTCTTTCTGAAGAGTTTTATGGTTTTAACTTTTCCATTTCCATTAATCATGCAGATTTTCAGGCTATGCATGGTGAAACCCTGACTGAGGGTTTGGGAAGTGGTATGGGAGGAAAGAGTCAGCCCAAACTCAGTCTCTCGTACCCATCCCTACTCTGTCTACTCATGGGAGTTCAGTCACTTTTACTTACACAACCTTATTAAAAATACTCATATTTGCAGAGCATGAGCTACTCGGTGGCGACAGCACAGCAGGACTCAGTTAAAACTTTTCTTCTCTCATGCAGTCTCTTAAAATTCTTTTGCAGTACATCACATCGAGCAACAACAACACACCCATCCAAGGATTTTACATCTATTACCGGCCCACGGACAGCGACAACGACAGCGACTACAAGCGCGATATCGTGGACGGTACGGTGCCTGCTTGGAGAAGGGGAAGGACACCCTGTAGCCATGTTGGCTGTGTTTATATGAAATCTAAACTGCTTTTCCCAAGCAGTCTTTATAATATATCTCACAGGAGGAGCTATCTCAACTCCCTAACGTCGGGTTTTGCCCACACGTGAGCTGGTTTCTTCCTTCTGAAGCCTCTTTGACATGGAAGCTTGAGGGCTAAATACTGGGTTTAAGTTTGGCTTGTTATACAGCTGCAAAGCCTTAATGAAGGTCTATTTAAACTGGTGTAGCTTCAAGTTGTATAAAGAGAAAGCAGTGTAAATGAGGTTTAACCCAGGATAAAAACATCTGGGTTACAGACTGTACTAACAACTAGCTGGCTTTTAAAATTATTTACCCCAGCATGGACTTTCTAAGCTGGTAGTATCTTGTGTGTAATTGCCCTTCTCTCCTCTTACCTCGCCTAATCACTTCTCCTACTATAAGGAAGTTGCTTTTAGCCTCAAGTGCTGTAACACTCTGCAAATGCAGCTATGTTTGTGCTTCGTTTTGCCTTTTAATCAAGTTATTTTTTTCCCCTGCGCATATTAGATCATCACTTTCCTGGAAGAAGTTATTAGATAATGTCTATATTAGTCCAGAAGTGGAAAACCCTTTTAAAAATATTTTATTTAATGTCCTTATTGCTCGGCCTGAGCAAACGCAGTGATCTCATTCTGGCCCAATGACGTTAATTATTTTTTTCCCCCTCATTTATTCAGTTACAAGAGGAATGGACCTTTATTTTGAAAATTTTCCCCTGCCAGACAATACTGCACATAGTACTTTGATGCATGACATAAGCTTTTGCACACTATAAAGCTATTAAAGGTCCAGAGTTTGAGCTCAGAGGCTTTAAAGAACCTTATGCAGGCTTCACCTTCATCTGCAAATGTATTTTAGCCTTTGCTAGACAGAACTTGTGTGTTTATAAATCTTATACACTGAGCAGTTAGTTGTTTAAGTGGGCTCCACTGTGCTGTGAAATTAGCTTGTTTCGGGGTTTTTTTCCGAGCGTGTGTGTATTGAACTCTTTGTGGCAGTCTGAAACCATTAGCAGCTGCTCCGCTCTGCCAGAGCCTGCAACAGAAATCACTCGGTGGAAAGATTTAAACTTCAACTTTTCTTTACTGTGCTCCCCTAAATTAGCTTTTCAGGAGGAAAAAAAAAAAGGAGAGAGAACTATTTTCAATTAAGTTGTGATTGGAAGCACTTGATGTGAAATATGTAGAGGAACATGTGACTTAAGGTATTTTTGCCATAAATCACTTGTTCTTTGCTTTGCTTTTTTTCCCCCTCTGTTACCTTTGAATTAATCTGCTTTATGACAGGGAATTTTATCTTGAAATGACTGCATGAGTTGTGGAAAAAGTGTTGTGATGCCTGTACTAGCTAAGTGCTTGCCGCAGGCTTTCCTCACCGCTTCCTGTTAAGTCTTGTCTTTCGAGACATTCAAAACTCTGCAGAAACCTTTTTTTTTTCCTTATAAATGCCGCTGCAGGCAAAATCAGATTTTATTTGAAGGAAAAAACAAGCAAAAAGCTCTGATGGCTCCTCGGTATCTCTCAGCCGCTTTAGGCAAAAGCAAAAAAAAAATCACCCCTGTCCTGCAGCGATGGTCTGCATTTCTCCGCTTCTGGTCTGAATTTCTCTGTTTCGAGAATCCTGGAGATTGAATTTTAAATGTAAATGCAGTCTGATGTCAGTTGTTTAAATGTTTTCCCTTGCTAATGGTGCACGAAGAGGACAGTTAAAGTGCCTGTACTGATTCCAGTGCCACTAATGGTTTGAAGCGGAAACCTAAAACCTGGTGTAGTAATTACCGAAAGGAATGCTTGGGGGTGGGGGCGCCGGGAAAAGCGAGGCTGAATCTTGGGAAAACGTGCGCTTTAGGGAAAGGCAGCTCCAGCCTCAGCCAGGGCTTGTCCGCCCTCCCTGGGATGTGGACACGGACCGTGCTGGGCAGCCCCTGGTGCAGAGGGGCCCTCCTGGGTACCCGCGCCCTGCTGGGGCCGGGCAGAGGCTCCGGACCTGGGCTGGGGTCCCGGAGGAGCTTGAGCAGCATCACGGTGACAGCCCCTGCCCGCCGAGCACGCCCGAGCGTTTGTATTAATGCTTAAATCAGTAGGTGGTAGACAGTTCCTTAGAAACAGTGGAAACAGTTCAAGGTGGTATTTTCCAAGAGGGATTAAGAGCACTCAAACAGTTAATTAAACTCCCTAAAAAAAAAAAAAAAAAAAAAAAAAAAAAAAAAAAAAGGGTCGCCGTTTAGTAAAATTTGTCACAAGCCCGTGAAAGTAAAAACTGGGAGTGATTTATCCTGAAGTGCTCAGTGCTTCAGGAGGGTGTCTAAATGAAAAGCTGGCTGGGGGCCAGAGATGACAAAACCATCCTATTAGAGAAGATTGCTTGGCTGGGGCTGGGGCTTGGGCTCTGCAGGGGCAGTGGCACCAGGACAGCCTTGCTGCCTTCCCAGGATGGTTCATAAAATGCACCTTCAATTATTTGGGGTTTCGGCCAAATTGAGCAACCCAGATGTGTCCCTCCTGTGTGACACCACTGGCTGCAGTGGTACCTCTAGAAGGTCTGCTCACAGCCAAGTTCTTCCTTGTCCCAAGCTCTGTGTGCCAGTTTCCCTTGTTATTTGCCCAGTGAACTGTAAATAGTCAGCATAATCCACCCTGAACCCATCCCTCTGACAGTTCCATGTTTAGGGTGCACAGGGCTGCTGCTGAACTTAAATGCACATGTGTGGGCACTTAGATGTCTGGGTTTTGAGTTTTGTGAGGTTTGGCTTTTGTAGAAAATTACTTTCTTTAATCGAAAATACTGAAAAAACCCTCACTTTAATTCATCAAAAGATCCTTCTAATCAATTTCTAAAAATAATCAATTTCACAAGATAACCCAAGTCTTAGAGAGTCATGGAATAATTTGGGTTGAAAGGGACCTTCAGGATTATCTAGTTCCTACCCTCTGTCATGAGCCAGGATGCCACTTGTGGACCATGGTTTCAGTTAAATCCATAAACTACTACTGAAGATTTTTGTGCTAAAAGACAAGCTGCAGTGCCCCTGCATTTGGTAGAAAAGGTCCCTGCAAAGCACTCGACCATAATTCTGGCTCCTGTGGGGTAAATGAACTGCAATTTACTTTTTGTCCCCCCCACAGGTACAAAGCAATGGCACCTGATAAATCACCTGCAGCCTGAAACTTCTTATGACATTAAGATGCAGTGCTACAACGAGGGAGGGGAGAGTGAGTACAGCAACGTGATGATCTGCGAGACCAAAGGTGAGGCTGTGGGGCCGGGCTGAGGTGGCCTTTGGGATGGGAAAGATCCACTGGGGGAATTTTTGTGCAGCACAAAAGTCAGCTGCGATGATGACCATAATTTTCTGGAATGTTTCGGAGGATTGTTTTGTCTTCCGAAGCTGGGATTGTTTTGAACATATGGAAAGTGATCCTTTGCACTCCTGAGGCTCTGAGCAGAGCTCTGCAGCTTTGCCTGCCCTCAGAGATAGCGCTGCTGCCTCTGCTCTGCTGATGGCCTCTCCTTAGGAGACAACCATGCGCCTGAAGATGACAGAATTGATTTGTACATCTGTTTTATGTCTTCAGGGCTCTGTGACACGTTGTGTAAGTGCAGACCACAGCAATTGATGGCTGTGTTGGCTGCCTCCATCCCTAATCCTGCATGCCTCTGGCACAAAGTTTGTACTGTTCTCGGGAAGTGTCAGATATGGCAGTCACATTTATTTTGCGAAGAATTCCTGTCTCCTTTAATCTCTAAAACCAAGTAAGGCTGTAAAGGGAAAATGCAGACAGTAAACTTCAAATGCAGTGCTATGAAAAAATGTTTGAGAAAAAAAAAGAAAAAAATCCCTCTGGGAGCGGAAGCATCAAAATTCAGTGAAGTGAGTAGTGAAGCCTTTGAAGGAAAGAGTAGGAGCTGCAGGGCTTCAAGGCTGTGCACACAGTTGGTATTCCTCCTGCAAGGAATATAACTTTCTTCTCTAATTTTAAAATGGGCAAGATGTAATCTGTCATTCACCCTGCCTCTTCCTTAAAATTTATCTCCCCCAGGCTTATAAGGGTGATCCAGCTTATGCAGCATACCTGCATGGAGGTGCTTGTCTCTCTCTGACCAGCTTCACTCCTAAGCCAGGCACCTCTTTTAGGGTTTTAGTGTCAAATGAAATAAATATGAACTGTGGTGTACTGGAAACTAATGTAAATGCAGTTCCTGGGTTAAACATCTTATTTTCAGTGATTTTCTGTTCATCTCTTGGTTGATCTTCAACTGTATGGTTTGGAAAGGGGGTTAGCAGGGTTCACATCAGATAAGGGTAGGTCATCTGGCAGAGCCTGGGCAAGAGAAATGAGTGTTGTGGTTTTTCCTGACCTCAGAAGTGGAAAGATTTGTGCTCTTTCAAGTTGAGAGTTAGAGCAGTTGCAGCCACGGGTACCTCGAGCGTCTCGTTAAAGTTCCAGTGACCTCAGAGAGTGGGTGAGCAGGGGATAATCACCATTTTCCAAGGCAAACAGTTATTACCCAATAGGAGCTGGCATTCTCATTGCAGGATTTAATGTTGACTTGGAAGCTTTCTTTGTGAGGCATCGGGACTCAGACTTGGCAGTAATTATTGTCATTTCATGATGAAAAAAACACATTTAGAAGATGCATTTAGTGGATGTACATGTGCTTGTCTCTGCTCACGCAGTGAAACGCACGCCGGGAGCGTCTGAGTATCCAGTGAGAGACCTGAGCACGCCCCCCAGTCCCCCTGAGCGGGCTGGGGGCAGTGGGGCTGTGGCTGCCAGCGGCCCCGTGCGCAGTGGGGACATGCTGTACCTGATTGTGGGCTGTGTCCTGGGCGTCATGGTCCTCATCCTCATCGTCTTCATCGCCATGTGCCTCTGGAAGAACCGGCAGCAGAACGCCATGCAGAGTGAGTGGGGGTTGGTTTCATGGGGAAAATATTACCAGGGTAAAATTAGGAATGTCTGTGCTGCGTTTTATGGATGGGAAGCAGTTTCCTGTTAGGAGCCAGCTTGCATTTCTGTAGCGATTTGTACTTCCAAGTGGGCCTTAGGTGCAGCTTGGGTTTTTAAGAGCAGTGTCTCCATTTCTTCACACTGATGCTCCCCTGTCCTGCTGGGTCCCTGGAGGACTGTGATGCAGTTTCACCCAGGGAATCGTGTGGGAAAAGCCTGGGCAAAGTTTCTCCAGTTTGTGTTTAACTTTAAAGCCGCTGCATAGGTCTCTGATGGTTGCAGAGGCTGAATGTGTGTAATCATAATCACTTGTTAAAATTGTGGAGAGTTAAACCCTGGATCTCTACCTTTCTTGAGTGCATCTGGAAAGCTCTAGGACAAGTCCCTTGTTACCTCTTAGTCCCTGCACAATGAGATGGCATTCAATGGCCAAGTCTTCCAGAGAGGTGTTAATAAGGAAAACCTGTTCATTAGTGAGCAGGAGCCTGGAGCAGGAGCTTTGCAAGGTGCTCTGCACCCACCAGCAACCCAGAGCCAGCAGAATCTCTGCCCTGGCCTTTTCTGCTCCTTGTGCATAAATCAGCCTTGCTCTTGCCACAGCCTGTAGTTATTTTTAAATACTCTTACTCTCCTACAGAGAGAAATGTAGGAGATAATGAAGATAGTGTCTTCAGCTGCAGCCCAGAGAGATCTTCTGGAAGCAGCTTATAGCAGATACAGCAGAAGGGCTGTTGGTGATACAAAAGGCCTGGTTTTAGGATGCTCTTGTAGTGATTGACATCAGCCAGTTCCTTCCAGACCAACATTTCTGGCCTGCTCTCCAGGATGTGGCTGTTTTCCATGTCTACATGCATATGCTAAGCAGTTGGATATCAGTGTTAGCTCACAAAAGAAAAGATAAGTTTCATTATTTTTTAGGGTTGCTCATTTAGCTCCTCATTTATCAGTGGAAGTGCTTTCAGTAAAAATGTCTTTTGCAGAATACGACCCTCCAGGCTACCTGTACCAAGGGGCAGATATCAACGGGCAGATGATTGAGTACACGACCCTGCCCGGGACCAGCCGGGTCAACGGCAGCATCCACGGGAGCTTCCTCAGCAACGGCCTCAGCAACGGCTGCCCCCACCTCCACCACAAAGTTACCAATGGTGTCAAGGGGATCATGAGCGGAGGAGGAGCAGGACTGTACCCAGGGCACACCAACTCCCTGTCCAGGACACACATGGACTATGAACATCCCCATCACCTTGTGAACGTAAGGTCCTACGCTGGGTGGGAGGCTCAGCCCAGACCGTGGGGTTCATTCAGGGGCTGTGGAAGGAGGCTTAGTTTGGGTGGGGGAATACTCATCCATTGATAACAGCCAGTTCCACTGAATTCCTTGTCCCAGAGGAAGCAACTGGGCTGATATTTGTGATACAAACATCATGGTTTTCATTTGAGAATATCAGATGACAGCAAGAATTCCACTTACTCTGGGAAATCTGCCTCTACCCTCCTCCTAACAGCATGTAAGCTCTGAGAATGCCTCAGCGCTGGGCTGAGATACTTTACTTGTACATATGGTATTTCTCAATCTCCAAGTTAAATACATTTAATTATAGCTGCTTATTCTGCAGCTTTATGGATCACCCGTTTTTCCCCCACCTGTTTCAGATCTGTAACTCTGAGCAATGCTATTAATTATGGCAAAGCACGAATGGCGCAGGAGGTTCCATGGAATGAAGTGCCCCATACATCTTGAGCTGCAGCAGAGCAATAATGCTGCTTTTTTTTTCTTTTTTCAGTCCCCTGTTTGTGACTGTTGAGACAGGCTCGTTTTTTGTTACAAAATTGAAAATAAAATTAAAAACTAATTTCAGTCTGCGACCCAGCCTTTGTATGCTGTGGAAAAATACTTCATTTGCTGAAACGTGTCCTGTTTCCAAGAGAGAATAATGATTTCATTATTGTCTATGGAAACAGATGGCTTGCATTCAAACTTACTAAACTTACTCAAAACTGTGAACATTGCCCAGGAAAACTGAAAGAAAAAGTTCAAAAGTCTGAATAACCCATGCTGTTTCTGGAGAAAAAAAACGGGTCTATTGTTTGTGTTGGTAATTGAGCACAAGCACTTCATTTTATTGAACAACAAATTAGCACTTGCACAGTAGTTGCCACTTCACTTCCCTCCAGTCTGAGCCCAGACCAGTCAGTTGTTCCCCCCATTCTGCCCTTGGCCTACCCACAGAGCAAGAAGTGCCCACTTTTGGTTGTTTTCAAGAGCAAGCAAGGCCCAAACTGGGTTTTTTTGACCTGTCCAACCTCCCAGTGGGTGAAACTCTCCAAAAATCTCCAAGCCCTCAGGGAGGGAGGATTTGGAGTGCTCAAAAGCTCACCCAGGAGAAAGACTGGAAGTTTGCATTATGTTTTGTCCCTCCCATTTTTATTTTTTTGGGGGGAAAAATGAAATACATGTATGATGACACAGGTCTTGGTGTCTGGAGCTCCTCTGTGCCATGAGGTGTCCACCCAACATTGCTGTGCTGCTGGGAACAGGTGATGGGGTTGAGCTTTTCTTTCCCCACTCCCTGTTGCAGAAAGTTTGAGTCACAGGATCTCTGCCCATGGAGAAGGGCTGGAGCTGGCACGTGGGCGAGGCAGAGGAACAGGATGTTCTGATCCTGTTAGGTTGCTCTTTATTGTTTCAATGATTGGCTTAAATGAGGAAGGGAGAAACTGGCCAGAATGGCAATCAAGACTAATTAGGCATTTCCTCAGTGCTCCCTATCCCTCAAAAACTTCAGGATAAGCTCTGTTTTTGCAAAAATAGGGATTGCTAGAAGTTGCCTAGCACTTGAGCTGCCAAAAGCCAGGTGAGCCTTCCCAGCCTGGCTCCCTCCTGGAGCCCGGTGCAGGAGCCTGGCTCTGCAGCCCCCTTGGAGTGGCTCCCACATCACTGTCTGCCTGGTCCCTAACAATGAGGTATGTGTTAATCTGGGCATTTCAACTGGCTTGTAATGGCCCCGTTAGCCAAAACCAACAACACAAAATCCCTCTCACCCGGAGTCATTGCTGGCTGAGGAATTACCCCATCTGTACAAATACGAAACGGTTCAAAAATCAGTGTAGTGAAGTAAACTGATCTAATCGGAGTAATTACAGGAAAGTGGGATGGGTTTGTATGTGACATCAGCCCTGCAAATTTAATCCTCTGTCTCCCTAAACAAGCCTTGCGTGCTAATGAACAGCAATTCGCTTTCGTGTCTGTCATCAGCGTTAAAAATAAATATATTTACAGTGTGTTTATTAAATTAAACCTCAGCATATTAAGCTGAAAACAGACCAGGGAAATGACCACATACTTGTCTAAGCTGCAGTTATTTACTTTTCCCTGACACACACACTGGCAAAGCCCTCCCCTGGCCTTTGGACAATCGCTCAGTGTTGCTGTGCCACGTACAGCCCGGAGCAGGGCATCGATAACGTGATCAGAGGGGGGAAACTGAGTCAAAGAGCTCTTGGGTGTCCCAGCAGTGATTTGATTTCTAACTATTAATTATTAATCCTTCCTGCTGCAGGGTGGTGGGATGTACACGACAGTGCCACAGGCTGACCCCTCGGAGTGCATCAGCTGCCGGAATTGTCGGAACAATAACAGGTGAGAAATGACAATCACAGGTGAGAAATGACAATAACAGGTGAGAAATGACAATAACAGGTGAAAAATGACAATCACAGGTGAGAAATTACAATCACAGGTGAGAAATTACAATAACAGGTGAGAAATTACAATAACAGGTGAGAAATGACCTGCCCAGAGAACAGCCCTCCCTCTGTGTGCTGGGGTGGAGTTGGGGCTAGCAAAAGATGAGAGCTGGAGTCCTGGCTAGCACTAGGAGCTCCATGGATAGGAAAGCAGTTGAGGATTTTCTGTAGGATAGAATAAAACAAGTTGTTAAAACCCCAGAGCTCACTTTGCTCAACATGCTCCTCTGATGCTCTCTAGGATGTGAGGCAGGTTGGGCACTGGATTTAAAAAAAAATCTGTATTTCCTGTGTTTTTCTTCAGTTCTGAGATAACAAAATCATTCCATATGGAGCTTGTCAAATCGGATTTAATTGGTCTTCTATATTTTACACTTCCTGACATTCCCTTAAGAACATTAACCAACTCACTCCTTTGCCTTCACAATGCTGTTCTTTGTGAAACATGGGATTTGAAGTTCTTGAGGCCTTCAGGAGGAGATGACCAGCCATTGTCAGAGTGGGATACATTTTTTTTCATGTGAAAAAGGATTCCTGTGTAGAATAAGAGAAAATCTCTCTTCTGCATTGTAGCTGGGAGTCAGAAACCTAATAAAAATTACTGAGTTTTCACTTTTGGAATTATTATCCTCCTTAGGCTTCTGACTCAATCTCTGGTTATTTTAATGATTAGAAATAGGACTGAATGTCAGACAAGCTGGGCTGCTCTGACTGTTAGGTTCTGGGCTTTTTTTCAATCATCCTTTGATTTTTCAGTATTTTTAAAATCTTCAGCTGCCTTTAGGTGTGCATCTGGCTAAGCTGAGTTGAAATTAATCATTGAATCATTGAATATTCTGAGTTGGGCCCACAAACATCATTGAGTCCAACCCCTGTTGAACAATAAAGCTGTTGTTGAAGGCAGTAAACACATTCACTTTATTTTCATAGTTTTACTTTTTAAAATACTGCTTATAATGAGCTTTGAATCCTTCTTCCTTCCATAAATATGGGCATGACAGTGAAATGCTGGCAAGCTGCTGCTGGCAGGGGGAGCTGGGCATGCCTTGCCTGGCCCAGTGTCCCTGGCAGGTCTCAGGAAAGCCCAGGACATTCCCTCACACCCCAGTGCTGTGATTTCAAGCAGGCTGTGCAGCAGCTCTCACCAGGATGTCTGAGCCTCGTGGTAATTTAGAACATGCCATATGTGTTACACTGTAATTAAGAGCTTGCTTCCAGTGTTAAACACATCCAATTCTTTATTTGCTCTTTTTTTTTCCCCCTAAGAAAGCGAGGGAAAGAGTTCCATCCTCTGCAACTGCACTGCTCCTCCCAGACGGGTCATCAGCAGGGCCTGAACTTTGAGTTTTCACAGCCCCATTCTATATTTGACTGCTTGATAGAGAAACAAGTTGTCCCTTAGCGCTGTCTTGCCCCGGAGGGGATCATTAACCTCGGTTTGGCAGAGAGCTGCACAGCAGGGACCGCTCTGTTCCTGTCCTGCCGCTGGGGGAATGCAAAGAGGACATGGGAGAGGGGAGAGGAGGGGACCAGGACGTGCCTCAGCTTTCCACCAGGGAGCTGGGTGTGTACCCAGGGGGAGGAGGAGGAAGAGGAGAGGGAGGAGGAAGGCCTGTTGGGTTGGTGCAGTCAGCCCAGTGGGTTTTGGCAAGTGGGAATTGGAGGCTGGAGTGTTTTCCCCATTTTGTTCAACCTCACTGCACAGGTGAGGGCTGTCCCCCTGACCTGCCTGTGCCATCCCACCCTGGAATCCTGTGCTGGAATCAGGCAGCTCCCCCAGGCAGGAGGGGAGGGGGGTTCAGGTGGGCACAGCTCTGGCAGGCTGTGCCAGATCAGGACTGTGGCCTTGGTGCCACGAATTCCTCACCAGCCCATTTCCACCAAATGCCTGGAGCTGTTGCTGATTTGGGCTGAATGCAGCAGTTTTGTGAATTGTAACCACGTGCAAATGAATCCTAAAGGTTCAGCATTATTTCATAGCTGTTTTCAGCTTCAGCCATCTCAGAGCAGGTTTTATTATTTCAGTGCTGAAATCCCTGGGTCTTCTGTTTAAATTAGCACTTTATCCCTCATAACTTCTTGTGGAGCCTTGCCAGAGGGAGAAGCTGCTGAAAACTGGAGACCCACTTTGCTATTGTGGACAAAGCCTGTGGTTGACAGGATTGAGAATTGATCTTTTTCCTTCTCTTGTGCCTTTGTGCTAAAGCTCTCAAGATACCTGATGTTTGCAGAGGAATTTACACTTTTGCAGATCTCTCTCCTTTGCAAATAAACTGTATTTTGATCAGAATTCTGAAATACACAAATCAAATGTAGGAACATGAGTTTGTTTTTCAGCTTTTTCATCTAAATTATGATTTTTTTTTTTAGATTATAGTTTAGTAGGGTTTCAGAATTAAGAATTGACAGAAGATGTGTTTTCCCAGCAGGGATTTTACATCACTCCTCCTCCACACTCTGCTCTGGTTATCCCCATGGCTAGTTTCCATCAAAATGTGGTTATTGAAGCTTAGAAGGCTGAACTGCTGTGTTGAAACATCCTTCAAGCTCTTACAATAATACAGAGAACCTCACTGACCCTTATATCTTTAAGAAGAAACCCCCAGAAACATGCAAACCCAAACATTTAGATGGGTTTCTCTGAGCCTTTTTTTCTAAATAATAAGTGAGTGCAGTCAAAACCTCTGCGGAGAGAAAGGCAAACTAATAAATGGATTTGTTTGAGGACCAGATGTGTTTCATGTGGATTCTCCAGTGGCTTCTGTGGTATTTTGGTACTTGGAATAATGATTTTGGAGGCAGTTACAGGAGTGGGAGGACAAAATAGGAGAGTGAAGGTTGAAGCTTAGTGCTGCTCCATCCTCACAGCTTTTGGGAGGGGAGCAGGCTCCAGAGGGAGCCCATTTGTCCTGTTCTGGCTTTGCAGGTGAAGCATCTGCCAGAGGGAAAGCTCACTACAGCTCCTCTTCTGACAAGTTTATTTGTGTTGTTGGGTGTTTTGGTGCTCTTTCAGTTCTGGCAATATTGATCCCAGGTTTTGATCAGGTTTCAGGTATGAACTGAGGCTCTAGGCAGGGCTGTAGGACAGGACCCTCCAGTGTGATGGTTTTCCTTATTGCCATTACTTTTTTAATGGCATAAAAGTGGTTTCTGGGACTTGGGCAGGACTTAACTGAGACTGCCAAGCTTAACATGTCCTGGTTTGAAACCCTTCTGAGCTCAGTGCTGGGCTGCTTTTGTTAGTCAGTGTCAGCTCTGCTGCCTGCTGCCCTGGCACTGCTGCTGTCCCAGTTCATCTTTCCTCATTTCCAGCAATTTTTCATCTCCTCTGCTCAGGTTTGGGCTAGAATCAGTCTGGAGCAGCACACGGTGCTCCTTGCTGGGCCAGCAGCTGAGCAGGCAGGTCCCAGGGATGCATTTTTGTATTTCCAAATGCAGTCTTAGACAGCCCCAGGGATGATGGATAGCAAATGCACTGGGCTGATCCCTGTGAGCAAAGCAGGTGAGGGGTGGGTTTACATCTGCTCAGAAGAAAAGAGAAGGGTGCTCAGAGTTGTATCTGCACTAGCACATAGAGACCTGGAGCTTGTTCAGCTTTCACAGGAGCATTTTGGGGTGTCACTGGAGGGAGTGAACACTTTCCATCCTTATTTCCATGTGTTTATCTGCAGATCCATCTCTGTCCTGCACCACATAACAAGGAGCATCTTGATGTGTAGTTTCTCAAAATTTGTGGTAGCTGCACAAGTGAACCTTTTTTTTTTTTGGGTAGTTATGGCTTTCTTATGTAGGAATTGTTTATATAAATGTTCCCTGAGGCCACATTGTTCATGGGGCTGCAAACACTGAGGTGTTTTCCCTCGTGCTGCAAGGGTATGTGTGTCAAAGTCCTGCTCCTTTTTGTTTAAAGCTTAAATACCTCAGCTGTAACAATGGATTCAGCACTTCAACTTCAGTTCCACAGCTTTACATAGGTATTACAGGGCCACAGTCTGACTTACACAGAACAGGGGGGTTAAATTTGTTATATTGCATCTATTTTTCTAATTTGCATTCACTCCAATAACACTTAGTATTTATTTTTCAAGGTACCTAAGTGTGCTGCTTGGGTTTCAAATTTGAGCTCTTTATCTTGGCAGTGAAAACATGTTTTATGGAGTTGCTTTGATGGAGAAATGGACTCACAAGTCAGGTCATTGGGTCTCAGTTGATGGGGGAAGGAACTGAGCGTGTTTTGAATGTTTTCAGCTGTCTGCTGGGAGAAAAAAAAACCACTCAATCCTTTTCTTAATGTCAGAATCGCTCCACAAATATATTTAAAACTGATTTGACAAATGCTCTGATCGTTGATATGGTAAAACATTTAAAAGCTGGGGAGGGAAGAAGGAAGGGGGGAAGAAGCCACTCTGAGTAACTTTGGCCTCTGTCCTCCCGCAGGTGTTTCACCAAGACCAACGGCACTTTTGGCAGCAGCGCGCTGCCCGTGGTGCCCTTGGGAGCCCCTTTCCAGCAGGACAGTGTGGAGATGAAGCCCCTGAGCCCCCATGTGATGGTTGCCATGTGCCTGGCCCCGGCCAGCCCCGAGTGCAGCGCCCGGCTGGAGGAGGAGGAGGGCGGGGAGAGCGCGGAGCAGCCCCCGGCGCAGCACCCCTGCTGTCGGGAGGGCATCAGCCAGCTCTCTGTGGATTGCATGGACGGTGAGGCACCCCTCAGAGGATAGCAGCTGGCTGGGAAGCTGGGAATGTTCTGTAGGACATCTGTAGGGAGCTTAATTTATTGCAGAGAAGTCGGTAATTAAACCCTTGTAAGAGCAGGCTTGGAGGAAGGTGAAGCGTCCCACCCTTCCATCATGGAAAGTGGGAGTAGTGCTGCTCCTGTGCCTGGTCCTGTCATGCCCTTGTGATTGATGCCTCTAAAAAGGGCTCATTGAGACATTAGGAGGCTGTGACTGATGGATGCTGCACTCACAGCACACCCAGTGGCCCTGGCACAGGACACAAGCATTCCAGAGCCATCCTAGAGGCAGGAGCTGGCACAGGGAGGGACCTGGTCTCTGTTGGTGGAAAGACAATGTATTCTTCATCCCACCCTGGAATCATTGCTCCTTGTGTGCTGAAATCAGGCAGCTGCCTCTGCACCCACCCCATGGCAGCAGGAGGAGGGGGGTTCAGGTGGGCACACCTCTGGCAGGCTGTGCCAGATCAGGACTGTGGCCTTGGTGCAGCAAGGTCCTGAGTGACCCATTTCCACCAAATGCCTGGAGCTGTTGCTGATTTGGGGTGAATGCAGCAGTTTTGTGAATTGTGACCACGTGCTAATGAATCCTAAAGGTTCAGCATTATTTCATAGCTGTGTTCAGCAGCAGCCATCTCAGAGCAGGTTTTATTATTCCAGTGCTGGGCTGACCTCCTCTGAGCTGTTCCATACAGGTGCTGTGCTGGGATAGAGCCTGTGCCCTCTGCTGGTGCCTGGTGTGGTGGGAATGAGCCTGAGCCCAAAGACCATCACTCACTGGAATGAAAGAGTTTTGAAGGCGTGTGGTTCTGTTGAGCTGACAGAGAATCTCCTGAAAAACCCAACCCAACCACGTGCCCTGCTCTTGCTTTGCAGGCAGCAACTTCCTGCACTCGGAAACATCGAACCACATTTTGAGTTGGAGTCCCCTCATTCTTCAGCCTCTTTCCAAGGACTGTAAGGAAAAACCAGGATGGAGTTCATCTGGAGTCACCCTAAATGTTTCTGGGGACCTTTGTCAGCTCCAGCTGCAGGAAACCTGAGGCAGTGACCGTTGTCCCCACTTAAGGCCAGGAACTGCACCGCTGAAAGGGAGTCACAGGGGGATGTTAATTATAACAGAGAGAGTCACTATTTATTTTTTGTAGTAGTGTCATATGAATGTATCTTGGTTTCAAAATGGTTGCCTTTTTATATTATTTATGCCTTGAAATCCCTTTTTTTTGTTGTTTTTTTTTTCTTCCCCCACACACCACAAAACTAGCCTGGTTATGTGTATAAAAAAGAATTGTAATAATATAAAGAATGAGGATGGGAAATGTGGAGTGTGTTTCCATGGCAATTTACCAGTGAGGCAAGCACTTCCAAGGAGCCCAAGAGAGGGATTTAAGCAGGTCTGAAATGACCAACAGCTGCCACCTCCCTGGCAGTGCAGTGACATGGCACTGGAACCCTCCTTTCCATGAACACCTCCTGGCCTCTCTTGCTTTCTCTGGGAAGATCCTGATGAAGAAATAAGAAGGTCAATAAGGCTTGGTTGAGTCTGTTCTGTGCAGCTTGAAGCAGAACTTGAGTCAGTGACTGTGTCTTCACGTACTCAATAACCCTTCTGCAGAAGTACAGGTGAAAATCCAGCCTGTCTCACTTTCCCACTCACAGAAGACAAAATCCAGTTCAACTCTGGGTTTGAGGGATTACTCACAGCTTGGATAGAGCTCTGAAATGAAACCAGTCATGGTGAAACACCTCCCAGCAGCCCTGGGCACTGTCAGGAACCTGCCCATCCTGGACACAGCACGATGGAGGCGTTGCAACCTTAACTGCAGGGCTTGGGTGGGTGTTTTTTCCCTTCCAAATTAAATCCCAGTAAATAAACCAAACCAGTGCTTGCAAAGCACTCCCCCCACACGAGTCACAGTGCAAAGGCTCAGAAATGAAGCACAATTTACAGAGATGGCCACCCCGAGGTGACACCTGCAGCCCAGAGCAGCCTGGCTGCAGCTGCTCCAAAGCCCTGGGGAGCTCAGGGCTACTGGTGCAGCTTCAGCAGCCACAGGGTTTGGGGAGTGGTGTCTGTGTGAGGAGGAAGCCCTTGAGATCTGCTTTGCTAGCAGCAGCTCCATGGGCTGCTCCGAGTGTTGGGATGGGGATTTTTATGTTTCATAGAATCCCAGAACAGTTTGATTTGGAGAGACCTTAAAGCTCGTCCCATTCCACCCCTGCCATGGGCAAGGACACCTTCCACCATCCCAGGCTGCTCCAAGCCCCATTCAACCTGGCCTTGGGCACTTGGGGCAGCCACAGCTTCTCTGGGTACCCTGTGTCAGGGCCTCACCACCCTCCAAGGGAAGAATTTATTCCCAATATCCCATCTAAATCTGCCCTCTGGCTGTGGGAAACCATTCTCCCTTGTCCTGTAAATATCTGCTTGTATAAGAAATCCCTCTCCCTCCTACTTCAGGTAATTGAAGGCCACAAAGAGCTCTCCCCAAAGCCTTCTCTATTGCATTATTTGTGGTTATATTTATTCTTTTGCCCTTTTTTTAGGGTTGTGCCTCCTCCTAGCTAGAGCTGCCTTATTCCAAAGTTCTTTGCACACCATGGACTTCACACCCATGGGCTTTGACTGCCACATACCCCAGAGCCACCACAGATCTCCCTCCTCCCTTTTTGTTTATCTCATCCTCCCAGCCTGGATTTTCCTTTTGCAGGATCTGCTGCAAGGCTTTCCCCTTTTCCAACAGAGATTGGCCCATGAGTGATTGGGATTTAATTGTGGCTGCTTCGTTTTCCCCAAACACTGAAATTGAACCATGGTTTTAAACAACCTTGCTTAAATCTCCCCTGTATTGTGGGTGTGTCAGATAAAGATGCTCTGTTTTCCAGAGAAGCTGTAATATCCCTTTGGAATGTTCTGTGTTTGGAAGTGATGGTTTTGCAGGGGGTTTGGGTAGGGTTTGTATTTCTGGGGGTGGTTTGATAAAGGGATCAATGCTGCTTTATGGCTGGTGTGGGGACTGATACTCTGTGGGCACTGATTAAGATTGATTTGTGTGGTTTGATACTTCCCGAGGGGTTATTATTAACCAAATACAGGAGAAAATGGCCCAAGGTGCCCTTGTTCTCCACACACAGCAGAAGATGAGGACTCAGGAAAGCTGGAAACTGCCTGACACTTTCCTTGGACCCTGCTTCCCTTCGTGCTTGCACCAATGCAGGAAAACCATCTCCAGTCACTATTTTTAACCTGTGGTTTGGCCTGAAGCTGGGTAGTCTGGGGGTGAAGATGAGGCCCCTTCCCACAAAAAGCTTTGGGGCTGTTCTTGTACCACAGAAACCTCAGCACAGTCCCCAGGCAGCATCCCCAGTCAATGCCAGCCCTGGGGCTGAGAGCAGCGCTTCGGCCCTCGGGCTTTTTTCCTGCCATCGGTGAGAAACTATTTATTGTAGCCTAAATATTTATTTTAGCTCCAGCAGTAACTGCAGGCCCGGGGCTGAGCCGGAGGGGCTGAGCTGGGTGCAGCGTTTGGAGCCAGCCCAACACGCACAGGTGGGTGCTGCCTTCCCGTGGTGCCGGAGAGAGCAGGAGAGGGAAATGAGGAGCAAAACCCCGAGCGGTCACGGTGTCGCTGTCACGGTGATGGTGACATTAACGGGGTCATCGGCGCTGCCTGGTGCTGCCGAGAGCGGCTCTGCAAGGGGTGGAGGAGCCACGGGTGGGTGCTGGTTCAGCGGGGCAGTGGGTGCCGGTTCAGCGGGGCAGTGGGTGCTGGTTCAGTGGGGCAGTGGGTGCTGGTTCAGTGGGGCAGGTGGGTGCTGGCTCAGTGGGTGCTGGCTCAGTGGGGCAGTGGGTGCTGGTTCAGCGGGGCAGTGGGTGCTGGTTCAGCGGGGCAGTGGGTGCTGGCTCAGCGGGGCAGTGGGTGCTGGTTCAGTGGAGCAGGTGGGTGCTGGCTCAGCGGGGCAGTGGGTGCTGGCTCAGCGGGGCAGGTGGGTGCTGGTTCAGTGGGGCAGGTGGGTGCTGGTTCAGTGGGGCAGTGGGTGCTGGCTCAGCGGGGCAGTGGGTGCTGGCTCAGCGGGGCAGTGGGTGCTGGTTCAGCGGGGCAGTGGGTGCTAGTTCAGCGGGGCAGTGGGTGCTGGCTCAGCGGGGCAGTGGGTGCTGGTTCAGCGGGGCAGTGGGTGCTGGCTCAGCGGGGCAGTGGGTGCTGGCTCAGCAGGGCAGGTGGGTGCTGGCTCAGCGGGGCAGGTGGCTCTGCCCTCGGCCCGCCCCAGTACCTGCTGCAGTGCCCGGGGCACACGGGTCTCCCGGTGCTGGTGCTGCCTCAGCACCTGCTGCCGTGCCGGGGGCACAGGAATCTCCCTGGGCTGGCCCTGCTTCCTCCTCGCCGCCTGCGGCTGCCTCAGCATCCTCCGCTGTGCCCACGGGCTCCTGCTCGCCGGGCCCGGCCCTGCGGGGACACGGGGGGCTCCCTCGGGCGGGGCTCGCTGGTGCCCGGGCACGGGAGGTGGCACAGAGGGGTTTGGGCACTCACGTGCGGAACAGAAGGTCGTGCAGCCCTGGGGAGGGAGACGGGTGTGAGGTGAGGGGGTCGGGGGTCGGGGGTCGGGCTGTGGCCCCCGAGGCGCCCCGCGGCCCCGGCACTCACGCGGGAGGGTGTCCCTGTGGCGGGCGATGCAGTGCACGGCCAGCAGCGATGCTGCGGTGGCCACCAGCATCCCTGCCACCGCCGCCCCCGTCACCGCCGGGTAGGCCTCGAAGGGAGGCTCGGCTGGAAGAGAGCAGAGGGAACATGGCAGGCAGCAGGGACGGGCAGAGCCCAGAAAGGCCCGGCAAGGTGCGAGCCTGTGCCTGAAACCTGCTGACGGCTGCTCACACTCGGCTCCTCAGCTCCACCGGGATGGAAACGCTGCCCTGCTCCACTCAACCCTCGCTCTGCCCCCACGGAGCGGCCCCTGCCCGCTTCACCTGGCGTCTGCACCTCGGAGGGGTGCCCGGCCGTGCGGTGGTTGACGGCCAGGACGCGGAAAGCATAGAGCACCGCGGGGTCCAGCCCCCCCAGGCGCCGGTCGCGGGAGTGCGGCTCGATGTCGCCGGCGGCCGTTTCCCAGGGGCTGGGGGTCTCCCGGAGGGGCTTCTTGGTTCGACGGCGCTGCACCACGAAGCCGGTGAGGTTGCCGGCGCCCTGCGTCCGCCACTCCAGCCGCACCTCGGTGCGCGCCCGCGTGTACCGCAGCTTACTGATGGTGACATTGGGCGGGGCTGGGTACCCTGCGGCGAGATGGCACCCGGCAGGAGGGGCTTGATACCCCCAGCCCACCCTTGCCCTTCCCAGGACTCACGGTCCACGCGGAGGCGGACGGGGAGGCTGGCGGTGCCCACGGCATTGGTGGCGGTGCAGCGGTAGATCCCACTGTCCCCCGGCCACTCGGCATCCCGGACCGTGAGGTTGACCCACTCTTCTCCCTGCTCCAGCTGGTACTTGGCCAGCCCCGGTGTCACCTCCCGCTCCTTTGGGTCGTACCAAGCCACTGTGGCACCGAGACTGGCGCTGCTGCCGCGTTGCCGGCAAGCCAGCTGCGCCTCGCCGCCCTCCAGCACCGCCACTTCGCTCTCCGCCTGCAGCTCGGGGACCTCTACTCGGCGACAAGGGGGGACACTATCGGCCGGGAGGTGCCACCGCTCCGTGGCACGGTGGCACGGTGGGGACGGGTCGGGCTTACCCAGCCGCAGGCGGCACTCGGCGGCAGCGGCCCGCAGCGGGTGCGCGGCCTCGCAGACGAACTCGCGGCCGCCCAGGCTGCCGTCGGTGCTCAGCACCAGCACGGCCGTGGAGGGCGCGGGGTCGCCCAGGGTCCGGCCCGCGCCGTCCCGCCAGCGCAGGGTGACGAGCGGCGTGCCCCCCTCCCAGCGGCACCGCAGCATCACGAACTCGTCACCCTTGGTGGCCGCCGCCGCGCAGCTGGGGCTGCCAGACGGGACCCCTGTGGGACGGAGCGGTGTCGGAGCGGAGACATTGCCACGCTGTGCCAAAGCACCCCAAAAAGGAGACACCCCCCACCCCAGGGTGAGGGGGGTTCGGCAATCCCGGCCGTGCCACAGCGTCCCCGTTTTGGAGCAAGCTGGAGGTGCTGAAGGTCCCAGGAAAGGCAGCAGCAGCCCGGAGTGCCCATCCATGGTTTGGCCACGGCACGGGGTCATTGCAGCTCTGCTGTGACACCAGGGGGTCACAAAGGGGGCTGGGGGGCAGATGGGCCCCTTGTCACTCACACAGGGTGGTCCCACATGCAGCCCCCAGTGGCAGCGCGGGGTGGGAGGCCAGGCAGGAGAAGGAGCTGCCGTTCCTGGTGGCTGGCCCTGACTGGATCCTGGTGGCCATGGAAAAGCTGGTCCCCATCAACCCCTCTTCCTCCTCCTCCTCCTCCTCCTGGGGGCCCACCCAGCGCAGCCGGGCCAGGGGGAAGCCCCCCAGCCAGCGGCACCGCAGGGCCACATCCCGCTGATCATCGGAGGCCAGGGCGGAGCAGCTGGGGCTGCCGGCTGGTGGATCTGCAGGAGACCATCGGCGCTGGGGGAGAGCGTGGGCTCCCCCCAGCCCCACCCTCCCTCCCACATCCTCACCAGGGAGCTGCGCTGGTCCGTCTCACCCTGTGGGGACCCAGGGCCCCCCCGCGGGGTTACTCACAGTAGACAGTGAGGACGATGGTGGCCTGGGTGCGGGTCTGCAGGTGGCTGTTCTCGGCCAGGCAGGTGTAAGTGCCCGCCTGGGCACGGGCGATGGCAGTGATCACGTAGGTCTGGCCGACGTGCACCTGGGAGCCGTTGTGCAGCCAGACATAGCGGCTGGGGGGGTTGGAGGGAGCCAGGCAGCTCAGCACCACATCCTCCCGCTCGCCCGCCGAGAAGCCCCCCTGTTCTGGGGAGAAGGGCTCCACACGGATGGCCGGCTCATCGGGGCCATCTGCGGGGACACGGGGCCCTTTAGGCAGGGACAGCCCCACAGGGGGGACACAGCCCTCCCTGGGCTTCCTCCCACTGGTGGGAAGCAGGGCAGCAAAGCCTCCTTAGAAAGGGTGCACCATGAGGGCTGTGAGCACACCAAGACACACAGTGGCCACAGATGCACCATGGTGGCAGCACACACGGTGGCCATGGTGACTAGAGAGGCATTATGCCAGTGGGGTGTATGATGGCCATGAATACATCAAAGCAACAACAAGCCATACCGTGGTGGCCATAGAGACATAGTGGTGGCCACAGAGGCATCACGGTGGCAGGATACATGATGTCCATGGATGTTCCATGATAGCTATGGACATACCATGGTGGCAGGGTGCTCAGTGGCCATGGACGAACCACGGAGCATTGTGGTGGCCACAGACATGCCATGGATGGCACCAGCCCTGAAGATGCCCCCCAGCTGGTGGCGGAGGGCCCCCCGAGGTGGGTGGCACCCAGGGCACTCACAGACGATGTCCAGGTAGACGGGGTCGCTGCTGCGGTTGTTGACCTCGTTGCTCGCGGTGCAGATGTACCAGCCCGTGTGGCTGCGGTTGGCAGGTGTCAGCTGCAGCTCTGCCCTGGAGCCCCCCAGCCCTGCAGGGGTCACTGAGGGACCCCCCCGGGGCTCCTGGTGCTGCCAGGAGAAGCTCAGCGGCTCCGTCCCCTCCCGCACGGTGCACGTCAGGGCCACCGCCGCCCCCTCCGCTGCCGCCGCTGCCGTCGGCCGCACGAAGGGCTTGGACACGGGCACTGGGGGCAGCGAGTGTGAGCAGCCCCACAGACAGCAGAACACCCGGGGCCCACCCATGCCCCCACCCAGACAGACTGTTTGGCCAGTGAAGTGCCATAGCAGCCAGTGGAATGGCCAGTGAGGACACCTGCAGGCTAGTGAGGGGCGCCCTGGCTGGGAGAGCTACTGGGACCAGTTTGGGGTGGTGGGATGCTTGGGTAGCCAGGGCAAGGAAATGAGGGTGGCTTAGTGGGCTGCTCTGTTGGCTCGTAGGGGGCTATACCAGGAGGCAAAGGAGGTTTGCTGGCTGATGGTGTCCTGTGCTGGCTAGTGGAGCACTGGGTTAGCTGGTGAGTGCTATGTTGGCTTGTGTTGAGCTGCCTTGGCTGATGGGATGCTATATTGGCTAGTGGTGTGTTATGCTGGCTATAAGGATGCTTTGCTGGGTAGTGGCAGACTACGTTGGCAAGTAGGGTACTCCATAACTAGTGGGGTGCCTGGTTGGTGAATGGGGTGCTGCAGTTCCTAGTGAACCACCATGTTGGCTAGTGGGACTCTGCATTGGCTAGTGGGGCACTTTGCTGGCTTGCACTACACTTTATGGACTTGTGGAGCTCTTTGTTGGCTAGGGGGGTGTTTTGTTGGCCAGTGGATGGCTCTGTTGGCTACTGGGCAAGAGGCTGGCCTTGACCATGATCTAGGGGAGTGTGATGCTGGCTACTGCTGGCCAGCAGGTCCCCCCAGGTTGGCCCCAACCAGGGACTTACCCAGGACACGGAGGAGGACGGCGGCATAGCCCACACGGAGCCGGCCCCGCTCTGGGAAGAGCCCCTGGCAGAGGAAGCGGCCCTGGGCGGCCACGCGCAGCTCCCGCAGCTCCAGTGTCCCGTTGCGCAGCGTCACCCGGCCCAGCATCCCCGTGCCGGGGGCCATGGCCACCTCCCTGCCCGAGCCCACGGCCACGGCCCGCGGGAGCCCCTCTCCCTGTGGCGTGAAGCTCCAGAAGACCACGGCCGGCGGGGCTGCGGCCGCGGGCCCACAGCTCAGCTCCACGGCCCGGCCTCGCACGCCCGTCGCCCGCCATTCCTCGTAGGCCGCCTCGCCGGCCGCCAGCGGCTGCCCTGCCCGGGGCAGCGCCTCCGTCAGGCCTCTGCTCGCCCCCCACCCGGGAAATGCAGGGACAGGTCGGTGCTCACCCCCTGCCAGCGCCGGCAGCAGCACCAGGATCCAGGGCCCCCTCCAAGGCGGCGGCGGCGGGGCCCGGCCACGCTCCATGGCGCCATGTCCAGCACCCGCACGCCGAAGCAGGGCTGCGCTCTCCGGCACAACCTGCTCTCCGGTTACCCCCGGGTAATTAAGCCCAGCCCTGATTAACTGTTAATTATTTATCAACCTGCCAGCACAGGGGGAACCCGACGCCACTGCCACCGGGGCCCCTGCAATCTCAGGGCTGAGGAATGGTGCACTTGCTTGTGGGAATGGCAGCATCCTTGCATTCCCCCCACGTGAGAATTTAATCCGAGTGTTTTCTCTCCTCCACACACAGTATTTTTTTGGCTAAAGGAGGGGAAAATAAACTGCCACTCCCCTGTGGTCAAAGCTGGGGGGTTTGGAGCTGGGGAAGCCAGGCAAGGAGCAAGGTTTGATATTTCATCTCCCACTGTCTGCAACGCCCCAGACCATCAAACATTCATAGGGGCGGCTGTGCCGTAACGCAATGCCAAGGGGCTGGAGCAAGCCAGGGGGGACTTGGGGGTGCACATGGTGAGGGGGATCAGGGAACACACAGCAAAGCCTGGAAAACTACCTTCCATCTCCCATCTCCCTCACTGATCCTTTAATCAGAATTACCAAAATCACACTGTTAATACTAAATGTGTGTACTCTCCACAAAGAGGCTTGAAATGCCCCAAAGGGTTAAAGCTGGTGGCAAGGAACTGCAGAGCCAGGGCCAGGCACCCTCCTGCTACCACCAGGTCCTGCTTCCACCAGTGGCTGCACTCTCAACATGTTTTGGTCACTTTTTGTGCCTGTTCAGGTCAGATTAGAAATCTGGATGAGGAGAGCAGTAGCCAACCCAATAAATGACACCATTGTCAACACTGACCTAATCGAACCTCCTGCAAGGGTAGATGTATTTCAGAGAATTTTGGTAAAGAGGGAGCCATCCTGGTGATTACAAACAATCTCATTTATTAAAAATTAACAAAGGCACAAACACAGCCCAGTCCCAGAGTCCAACTTCTGTCCTCACACTGCTGGGACCCCGAACATTTGGGTTTCAGACCCCTGGGGTGCCATCTCTCTCCCTCACTGATGGGATCCTGAACACTTGGATTTTGGAACCCCCGGGGGTCGGTCCAACCTCCCTCCTGCACTGCCGGGACCCCGAACACTTGGATTCTGCCCCGGGATCTGGGATGGCAGCAGTGGATTCCTGCTGCCACCTAGCGAGACAAGGTTCGCTCCAGGCTCAGGCAACACAACAGAACTCAACAGCTTCAGGATACAAGAGAACCGGGAAGTCTTCCCCTGTAACTTTTCCTCCTGTTTAGAACTACAACTTGGATTTGGGAGAACGAATCCCTGCTCCTCACTCAGCTGCGAGCTTCTCCAGCTCGTCCATGTCGTACGGATCCAGCTGCTTGATCGTGGTCTCTGTAGGAAGGAAAGAGCAATTGTTGGGATGCGAGTGCAGAGCTCACTCCCCTAAGCACTGTCTGCACCACCTGAGGGCCCCACGCCAGCCGGGAAGCTCCTGGAGTGCTCACTGCAGCAGGGAAATCAGCTGGGAGAAGTGCAGGGGAAATGGGGTCAGCCTGGAAATCAGCTGGGACAAAGCAGGAGGGGAGCTGGATCAGAGCAGCAGGCAGAGAGCACCAGCAGCAGCAGCAGCAGCAGCAGCACAGAGCTCAGCCTCTGATGTGCCCCCACTCCCTGTTCCCACCTCCACAGCCACACAGGACAGGGAGGGTCTGTACCCTCCAACTGCAACACCACAACATGGAAAGCACAAGTCAGATCGCTGGGGGTTCATCCTCACACTGGCTCCTTCTGCCCATGGCTGTGGTTGGGCTCATCCACATGCCAGCTGGTCCAGCTGCTCACTGCTTCTACTCCACAGCAGCAATCTCTACCAGAATGTGTGGCTGGTGTCTTCTCTGCCTGGTGTCTGCCTCAGGCTCACTCCAGGTTCCAAGGACAGGTGAGTATTTGAAGGAACCAAGAGGGCTGAGTGGCTCTGAGGGTGGAGATGTGGAAGGGACACGGTTTCCTGCCCATCAGAAGGCTTCTATAACCTTCTTTCCTCTAAAAATCACAGAGAAAACAGGCACTGGGATTCAAAAAACCATCAGTGCAGCCCTGGCATCTGGCAAATCCCATGAAAATCCTCTTGATGCTAGCAAGTGACAATCAATTTCCACTCAGGAAAGATTTCCACAGCTGCCACCTCCTCTCCCACAGCCAGGGCTGAGCTGAGCTGGGGCACCAGGTCCCCTGGGACAAGCACTTGCAAGGAAAGGCAGAAAAAATGCCTGAAAAGAGGGAAAAAAAGAAGGTGCTGAGGCATCCTGGGTACTGGTAACATCCCCTGCAAGTTGCACACAACCTCCAGGGCTGCTTCTTGGGAAATTCACCAGCTGGGGAGCAAAAATCACCCTAAAAGCTGTATCTGTCACCTGTTCCCAGTGAGATGGGTCCTGTGGAGAGGAGCAGCCCGACAAGGACTATTTGCCAACAGGAAATAATCCCTGGAAGTGTTCAAGGCCAAGCTGGATGGAGCTCTGAGCAACCTGGTCTAATGGAAGGTGTCCCTGCCAATGGGAAAGGGTGGGAACAAGATGGGCTTTAAGGTCCCTTGCAATTGAGGCCACTCTATGGTTCTGTGAGTGAATCCAAGGCCTGTAAGAGCTCAAAGGAAAGCTAAACAAGGCAAAGTGTCTTCCTGTGTGTCCAGTGCAGCTGTACAGAAATTTGCTGGAGGGGATCACAGTCCCAGCCCTGCCTCTGGGAGCAGCGGATCCATGTGGATACTCACGGAAATACTCCTCGATCTTGTGCACCAGGCGCACGGTCTCTCTCTGCACCACGCTGAAGGCGATGCCGCGGTGCCCGAAGCGCCCGGCCCTCCCAATGCGGTGCAGGTAGGTCTCAAAATCCGGCTCGCCGTCCTGATCCATGGGCAGCCCAAAGTTCACCACCGTGGTCACCTGCTGCACATCAATGCCTGCAACAGAGAGAGAGAGGATCCTCTTGGGTTACCTCGTCCCACAGGATCCGCTGCTCAAGCCCAGGTGGAAGAACAGCAGGCCTGGTGCGTTTTGGGCCAGGATACCTCTGGCACAGACGTTGGTGGCGATCAGGACCTTCTCCTTGCCCTCACGGAAGCGCTGGATGACGCTGGCCCGCTGTACCACCGTAAGCTCTGCTGTCAGGATGGCCACTTGGTGCCCGTCCCGGCTCATCTTCCCCGACAGCCAGTCTGCCAGCCTGCGGGTCTGCACACACGGGGAGAGGCTGAGGCCAACAGCTCCCTCTCCAGAGTCCCCTGCCCCTTTTGAGGGAGCTCATGGCAGTTTTTAACACTCCCCTGGGGTCTGCTCCTTTGTTTTGGAGGTTTTGGGAGGAGCCCACTGTGCCCACATTGTAAAATGACCCATTCCTGCAATTCCCAATGGGAGAAGGGCAGTGCAGGGCTCTCCCAGGCAGGCCCCTTACCTGGCAGAAGATCATGACCTGCCCGATGGTGAAGCTGCCATAGAGGTTGCAGAGGGCCTTGTACTGCTCATCTGAGCTCTGGCACACCATGAAGTACTGCCTGATGTTGCTCAGGGTGAGCTCCTCCTCCCGCAGCTTGATCACGATGGGGTCGGGGATGATCCGTTCAGCAAAGGCTCGCACGGGCTCCTTGTAAGTGGCTGAGAACAGCAGCACTTGGCAGCTCTTGGGAAGAGCCCTGGGGCAGGGAAAAAGCTCTGTGAGCCCTGGAGAGCAGCTGCTGCTGCCCAGGAGAACAGAAACACTAATTTAAACTGATTTTGTGTTGCCTTCAGTGGAAAGGGAAGCGAAGATGGCTGACAACAAAGATGGAAAGAGACTTTTTACAAGAGTCTATAGTGACAGGAAAAGGGGGGAATGGCTTCACACTGAAAGAAAACAGGTTTAGATGTTAGGAGGGAGTTCTTCCCTGTGAGGATGGTGAGGCCCTGGCATAGGTTGTCCAGAGCAGCTGTGGCTGCCCCATCCCTGGAAGTGTTGAAGGCCAAGCTGAATGGAGCTCTGAGCAACCTGGTCTAATGGAAGGTGTCCCTGCCAATGGGAAAGGGTGGGAACAAGATGGGCTTTAATGTCCCTTGCAATTGAGGCCATTCTATGGTTCTGTGAGTGAATCCAAGGCCTGTAACAGCTCAAAGGAGAGCTAAACAAGGTGAAGTGTCTTCCTGTGTGTCCAGTGCACACAGCTGCACAGAAAGACAGACTTGTGGACAAGTCTCTTTGGCACCATGGGCACACTCTCACATCCCTTTGGTGACAGATGCCTTTAAAGCTACAGGAGAGAAGGGAGAGCAGGGAATCAGGGCAGCAGCTCTCAGCAATGCTCACCTGTGGATGCGGATGCTCTGACAGGAGAGGCCCTGCGTGTCGATCATGATGTCAGCCTCATCCAGCACGAACAAGGAGATCTTTGTCAGGTCCAGGATGCGTTGTTTGAAGCACCAGTCCAGGGTGGTGCCTGGTGTTCCGATGATGATCTGCTCCTCCAGCACTGTGCCCTTCAGAACTGCAAGGGGGCAAAAGGCATTTGGCTGCCTCCAGGCATGGAGTTCTCTGCTGCTCTGTGTATTCCCTTGGCTTGCTCAGACTCTGGCTGCTCAGTGATGCCTTCAAGGGGTCATCATGGCACTTCCCTACAGCCTTGGGGCATGGGAACCACCCCCATATGGGAAAAGGGAGTGTGCAAACAGCTAGTAGTGGTGGAACAGCCTTCTCAGCAGGAGAAGGGGACAGACACGACGTTATTGCCCTTCATGGATGTCTGGGCAGTCCCTGGTAGCTCCAGGCTCTAAGAGAGGATCCCTGTGCTCCCTCCCTGTTTCTGCACAGTGCTGGGAGCTGTGCTGGGCTGGACTCACCTCGGTTTCCCCGGACCGCATAGTTCACCTTGATGTCCGTGCAGAACTTCCCAATGGTGCGCACCACCTGCCCGATCTGCAGAGCCAGCTCGTAGGTGGGAGCCAGGCAGAGGCACTGGCAGGAGAGCAGAGGAAGGAGCTGTCAGGCCCAGGATGGGGCACACAGGGCAGAGGAGGTCAGGATCATCCCACAGCACTGAGGCACAGGGGATGGGGCAGCACGGCATGGCTGGAGGCTCAGGAGCTGGGCTGTGCTCCCAGCTCCAGCCAAGGGGGCAGAAAGAAGCTGCTGCTGCTCATTTTGAGGAGGAAATGCATCTCTCAGAAGCGTGGTGCAGCTTGTTCCTGTGCCCTAGTTCAGTCACACTGACCATATGTACAAAAGGAGATCTTACATGGCTGGAAACTGCTGGCAAAGCTGGTTCTGCACCCAGAGAGGGCACTAGGAGTATCTGACCACCAGAAACCAGCAGTGTCTGCAGCTGCTCCTCAAACCTAAAATTCCAGGGTAACTGAAGCCTGGATTGATCCACTCTGGCAATCCTGAGGTGGGCACTGTGCTTTTGGTCCTACCTGCCACTGGGCCCTGGTGGTTTATCATCCCACTCCAGTGGGTAAAGTCAAACAGGAACTGGGACAAAGCCCAGAGCTCTGCCCCCGGCAGTGTCCTGGGCGCCTGGGCCAACCCCTCCTGCAGCAGCTCTCCCTGTCCTGCGTTACCTGCGGATATTTCTCGCTGGCACTGGCTCTGCTCAACATGGCCAAGACAAAAGCTGCTGTTTTCCCTGTCCCTGACTGGCTCTGGGCAATCAGATTTTGGGGCCTGCAAGGCAAAAGCAGCTTAGTGCAATGCAGGGGTCGGGTGCTGGGATGCTGTGAGGAGCCGGGGCTCAGCCGTGTTCCTACTCACGGGTAAGCCAGCATGAGGGGCAGAGCCTGCTCCTGGATTTTGGATGGTCTGTTGAAGCCCATCATATAAACCCCCTGCAAGAGCTCCTTCTTCCTGTGGAAACAAAGCAGCAAGTGCCCATGTGAAGGAGGCTGGTGCGATGGAGAATGGTGGGGCTGGGGGCTGTGGCAACTCACAGGGGCAGCTCCTCAAAGGTCTTGATGGAAAAGAGCGGGGAGCTGGGGTCTCGCTGCAGGATCTCCACGTGCTGCTGGGACTCCACCAGGGACGTGTGGATCAACTTGTTCATCAGTGACAGCTCAGCCAGCGGCACTGGGAAAGGCAGCAATTCCATAAATAAAAACGGAATCGCAGAATCGTTAGGGTTGGGAGGGATCTCTGGAAATCATCCAGTCCAAAGCCCCTGCACCAAGGCAGGGTCAACTGGAGCAGGTGACACAGGAACGTGTTCCTGTAGGTCTGGAATGTCTCTAAGGAGGGAGAATCCAGGACCTCCCTGGGCAGCCTGTCCCAGCACTCTGCCGCTCTCCGTGTCAAGAAGTTCTTCCTCATGCTGAGGTGGAACTTCTTGTGTTTTAGTTTACAACAAGGAGCTTGTAATGAGAATCCTCTTCTCTCTCCAGAGGATTTCTTATTGTTCTGTGAGTTCATTAGAAACACTGCAGGCAACATCCATTATTCCAGACTTACTATCACCATATTCATAAATGACCATCTAAACACACTGCACTGAGCCCTTCCCTCCTCTTAATTAAACACCCTCTCGATTCAATTACGGCTAATTGCCGTGGGCCGCCCCTCCCTCGGGACCCCGCGGGGGTCGGTCCGCGCTCGGCGGGGCTCGGAGCGCGGCTGGCACCGCGCTCCCCTCCGGACCCACCTCTCTCCTCGTCCTCCGGCTCGGGCGGGAGCGCGGGCGGCGCGGCGGGCGCGGGGAGCAGGCCGAGCCCGCGGGCCGTGCCCCGGCCGGGCCGCTCGGGCCAGCGCAGCCCGGGGCAGCGGGAGCCAGAGCGGCGCGGAGCCGCCCCGTGCCATGGGCAGCCCGGGCCGGAGCCGCCGCCCGCCGGGCCGAGCCCGCGGAGCCCGCGCTCCGCCCCCGCCATGGAGCCGTCCCACAGTGCCGGGGCGCCGGATGGGGCGGGAACATCCGGCACCGGAGCGGGAGCGGGTACGGCCCGGGGAGCGGGAGCCCGCGGTGGGTGGGCGTGCTTGGGGAGCTGGGCACCGGCACCGCGTCGGGCGGGGAGGGGCCCCTGCTGCACACGGGGACTCCGGAGGGTGCCCGCACTCGTCCCTGTAAGGTTTGGATGGCTCCTGGGGCACAGAGCCTGTCGCACAGGGTGCTGGGAATCCCTGCGGAGTTGGGGACCGTGGAGAAGGGAGGGTGCCTGTCTCCAGCAGGGTTTGGGGGCTGTGTCCCCCTGCCCGTAGGATGCTGAATCCTGGGACACCAAGAGGGAAGGAGGTGTCCCCAAGGTGATGGAGATGCAGGGATCTCATGGAGTTTTGGGGTGTCCCTGGGGTGTTGGGGTACAGGGACCCCATAGGGCAGTGAGGATCCCCAGTTGCACAGAGGGATCCTACATGGGGCCAGCACTGGTCCCCATAGAGTTTTGGGTATCTCTAGGGAATAGAGACTGCCCTATAGTGGGCATTGTGTGGTCCCTGGGGAGTTGGATGACAGGGACCATGTAGAGCAGGAAGGGTCCCCCTGCTGCAGTCAGGGACCTCACAGGCTCTGAGAGGGGAGGGATGGGGCCCTTGGGTGCTGAAGGAACAGGGAGGCTGTAGGGTTGGGGTGCTGTCCCCCATAAGAAATTGGGGAGGGTTTCAAGGATTCTGGGGCACAAAGACCCCTTCACAGATGGATGAGGATCCACAGGGTGCTGGAGAGTCAGGGACTTCTAACCTGGAATGTCCCCCAAGATGCCAGAACCCCTTCACTGTGGGATGGCAGCCAGGTCCTCAATCTTCTTTGTGCCCCATCTGGGATCACCTCCCAGGGAGGTTCAGGGGAGGCTGGACACAGAATTCCAGGCTGCAGCAGTCACATGTTTCCCATCATCCTGCTCCCTTTTCCAGCCATCCCACTGAGCTTTTGGGGACCCTTTCCTGCACCAGAACTGCCACCTTTTCAGTCCATTCCCATATCTTGGAAAAAAATTAACACTAGGAATAGTAATAACACTACTAGTAGTGCTAATAATACCTTGCTTCCATCCTAAAGCTCCTTTATTTTAAAGATGAGGTAAAATAAGGCAAAGGCAGCAGAGTTAGGTGATGCGGAGATAAGTCTGGAATAATGGATGTTGCCTGTAGTGTTTCTAATGAACCCACAGAACAATTAGGAATCTTTGCAAATGCTTTATTGAGAAAGATACTGCCGAGACATTGCAAAGAAAACCTCCTCCACACCAAAACTTAAGCTGCTTGAAGTGTACCGGGGGATTTTCCAGACGACGGAGGATGTTGAGGAGAAGAAAGCAGCGGGGCCGTGGCTCTAGGAGGTGGTGTTCCGGCGGGGCATGTTGCAGTGGGCCAGGTCCCAGCGCACGCCGAAGCGCAGTGAGTCGCGCTTCTTCGTCGTGGGCACCTCGTACGTGTTGGGGACCAGGCGCTTCTGCACCCGGCGCGGCAGCCCCGACTGCAGCATCTGCGTCCGCATGGCCCAGCGCAAGCCCTGGTGTGAATCCTGCCCGGGAAAGCGGAACCTTTCCCAGTCTTGCCTATATGCATTGAGTCTGGCCACCGGGTCAGTTCTCTTCACTCTCTCAGCCTGTGGAGCAATGTAAGCCGGCACCGTGGGCGATCGCCCGCGTGGTATGGAGCGCTTGGATGTATTGTCGCTCCCAAAATCCCTGAGGAGAGAGTAGGGCCTGTCCTCAAGGAGCCAGTCATCATCCTCATAGTGCAGGAAGTCCTCCAAGGTGCCGCTGGTAGTCTCTGTTCCCCCTTCAGAGATGGTGTCATCCATATAAGTCCTGGAATGCCCCAGATTCCATGGATAGGTGTTTATATCGGACTTGATGCTCGGTGACTCATCAGAGACCTCCACCCTTCCATCAGGTCTGTGCCTCAGCACTTTCCTCTTCATCACCAACCTCCTGGTTTCCCTCTGATCCATGGGAAGGTCTGACTGTGTGCCAGAAAGGATGGATGAGTCAGCATAGGGATCATCCTGGAAAGATGATGGCATGTCGCTGCATCCCTGCCAGGAGCTCTGCGGGCTCAGATCAGCTGCCAGCTGCTCCTCGCGCTCTGCTCTTAGCACCTTCTCCATGGTTCCCACCAAACTGGGTGGATTCTGCAGAAAAAGAAACCAGGGTTAATTTACTGCAGTACATTCAGGTTGGCTAAAGATGTCAAAGGGGTTCTGATGCTCAAGTTTTTGGGTTGAGGGGTGTTGATATAGGTTGGGGGGTGTCCTCAGTGCACTGCTAAACCTCCTGCTGCCAGCAGAAGGCTCTTCCCAACAGTAATACAAACACAACCCCTAAATTCCTGCTAGAAAACTACACTAAAATTAATTATGTGATAAATTAAGTACTCATGGAAAAACAGAGGGCAGGTTCCACGCACTGGATGAGAGATTAATGGTCTTTCCTTGTACCTCTGCTTCTAAACCCACAATATTTAGTCATAATTTAATCAAGAGGCATCCAAGAGGCTGTTTTACTTCCAGAGGAGGGAAGGGCTCAGTGCAGTGTGTTTAGATGCTCATTTATAAGTCTGGTGATAGTAAACCTCCAGCCCTGTGACAAAAAGGGATCCAGACACAGATTCCACTCTCAGCACAGGTTTAGGATCTCTTTAAGGCAATTTAAAAAGCCGCAAGTGTTGCTGGTGCTGCTGGGAGCAGTGGGAGCAGATGGCGGGGCAGGATGAGTGGCAGCCGTCAGCACGCTGTCTGCAGCGGGGATGCAGGTGTGAAAGAGACAAGGGCTCCGTGACGGCTCGCAGGGAACGTGCTGCTGCTGACAGAGCAGATCCCATCAGCTGGGGGAAGAGGAGTGATTGAAGAGCCCAAAAAAAGAGATTTGAGTGAAATGAAGCTGCCCGAGCTAAGCACCAGTGGCCCTGCTCTGCCTGTGCTCCTCTGGGAACACCAAGGGGCTCAGACAATAAAGACTGACTCTGTTGCTAGCAGTTATTTTGCAGAACAAGCCTAGAGATGTAATAAAAACCACATAAAAATGCAAATCCACCACTTTTTCTCTCCCTGCAGACCCCAAGGATCCATCAGCAACAAACTGACACTCCAAGGTGGTGGCTATGGCTGCGGAGAGCACGGCTACTGACCACGAGCAGCTCCTGAGGAGGGTGCAGGAGCTGGAAGTGGAGGTGAAACGGCTGCAGGAGAAGCTCCAGGAGGACAAGGAGGGTGCTGGGAGGAGAGAGGCTCCTCCAGCCTCTGGGAAAGCCAGGAAACGCCAACAACGGCCCTTTGATTTCGGTGCCCACAGCCGCAGACACGTGGCACTGCGCATCGCCTACCTGGGCTGGGGCTACCAGGGCTTTGCCAGCCAGGAGAACACCCCCAACACCATCGAGGAGAAGCTCTTTGAAGCCCTGAAGAAGACAAGACTGGTGGATGACAGACAGACGTCCAACTACCACCGCTGTGGGCGCACGGACAAGGGTGTCAGTGCCTTTGGGCAGGTGAGCATCTCCATGGGGGTTCCTGTTGGTTTTCCTGGGGGGATGGAGTTCTGATGGGATTACTGCTTGGATTTGTTCTTGAAAAGCCATCAGCTCTTAACCCTGGAAATGAACCTGGCAATGGCTTTCTGCATGTGCAATGATGATTTCAGGCCTTTGAAGCCTTTTTAGTGCCATTTCTCCCCCATATTAGTTGTTTTCCAGGGTCCTGTTTTAGGAGGATAAAACGTGTTTTAGGCTGCAGGTTCCCCAATAGCTTGGTGATGCCCTGCCCTCAGCAGGGCCCTTTCAGCTGATTTAACTTGCGAACCCTACAAAAACCCAAAATCTCCAGGAACCGGCTCACTTCCTGCAGCATCAGGCAGCTGAATTCCTGCACAGAAGGGTCTGAGGGGAGCTGCAGCCAGCGGAAGGGAGTGTGGGAGTGGGAGCTGGAGGGAGGGAAGCAAGCTGGCTGCTTGGTGGGCATGGAGCCATGAGGCTGGCTGAGATGCTGGGGAGAGAGCAACCTTGGTGGCAACCATAGGGCTGGCTCTCCTTTCTTCTCTCCCAGCACAGAAAGCAAGGCTGGCATAGGTTTAACTTCAAATGGCTGCTCTGCTCTCCTTCACAGGATGAGCTACATGAAATCAGGGCATTTGG